GTGGATTTCTTTTTGCATTTTATGTAATTCGGGCAAATTTGCGCTACGTTCTATAAATCCACTGAATAACATCGTTATATATTTATGTACATTGTATGATGTGTACAAGTACGTTCTACACAATTTTAATAAATACATAGATCAATATTTTATTTTACTGTTTTCAGTTGGTAATAGAGACTCGTATAAGGAACCAAGCACTCATGTTGCCACTGAAAGGTACTCGCCCGTTCGGAGAGCATCAGAGGGTTCAGGTCCATCTGGACCTGGAATTCAGGCACTTCAACAAGAGTATCAACAACTGCAAAGGTTAGCATCTCCGTCGCATAGTCCTGCAAGTATACCTGGATCTCCTGTACATGAGAGAGGGGTAGCAGCAATCACACAAGGTATTCTTTACTCCATATATTTACAAATTTTTATTCGTTTTCATTTAAATCAATTAATAATATTTTAAATGTTAAGATTAAATTATAAGATTCCTCATCGTGCTTCAAGTAATTTCAGTAATCATTTCTTTTATTAATAGGTTTGAGTGGACTAACCACAACAACAGTACAAGGCAGCATTGTACATGGTACTCCAACACAACCACCAGCAACGCCATTAGATTTGAGTCCATTAAGACATCATAGATCACCAGCAACAACACCAGTTAGTTATTCACCTAGTAATAGTCCTGCTTTGGACATGATTCAGGAAGAACATCCTGTAGAATTACCAAGAGTAAGTAATCATTTTCAATTGTCACTTAAGCGATCCGTATTATTTTTTAAAGAAAATAATTTATAGTTTATTTTAAGTATTTTTGCGAAAGTATTTACAGTGTAATGATTATTTGTTGTAGGTGCCACCTCAAATATCTATAACAGATCTTGGAGGGCAAGTAACACTTATCAGTTGTTCACCCTCGCCATCTCCATCACCTGATTCACTTGAAGATACATTACCTCATTATAATCCTCTTCCCAGCTTTATTATCTCAGAACCATGTGACCCTTTAAGACCCAGTATCACACGAGGTATCGGTAGGCCGCTAAATACATCAATACCTACGGAAGTTGAAGTCACTTTATCGGATGAATCGAGCAGATTGAATTCCGAAGCTATATTGGGCCGTGTGAAACAAATTATAGATGCAAGAGCTCCACCAAAGGGATTTATCTTTAATAGAGAAGAAGTGAAAGGTAGTGGGCTTAGTTTAGAATATCCAGGCGGTGTTCAAATCGAACTGAGAGTATGTGAATCTGAAGAAAAAGAAGTAAAAGGCATTAAAATGCGAAGAATTAGTGGGGACCAATTGCAATACAGTCAACTTTGTCAACAGCTGATCTCGTGCATTACCGTTTGACGACAACCAGCATATAATATAATATCTTATATGTTACGTTACATTCCTGGTGCCACACACACCACTCATTACAGTATTGCACATGCATGCTGCATACATACGAGCGGTACCTTAAGCATACCATTCTTCATATTGATACATTCATATGTGTAACATTCATTGTGCTTCACTTTTGAATGTTGGTCTTTTTTTTTTTTTTTTAACATATAAATCGAAAAAAGAAAAGTTTTAGGTTTACTTGCGCATAATATGAAGTTGGAACGAAAATGTTCTACTAAAACCTTCTTTTAAAGTCTTGATATTAAGACTTTAATATCCTTACACAGGCAAGTTGAGGTTCTGCTATTTTTAAATGATTTAAGTATTAACAAAACAGGACGATTTTCATGGAAGTTTAATCGTAATGTACATCACACACCATTCCTTTTTGTAGAATGTTTATCTTCATGTTAGAAGTTTATAGATAGTAAATTCATAATTTACTGTTTAAATCATGATCGGGTGCCCTTTTTAGCATAGATAAAAGAAAAGCGTCTTTTGTACCGGATTCGGTGGCAAGTACTTTCATGATACATGTCTTTCTAACGTAGTGGGGATGTTTTATATGGGATTTACTATATTTATTCGATTGCCATTGCAAACAGTTTTAATTTCATGGTCTATATTCCATGTTTGTAAATATTCCTCCTACAAAGATCGAAATCTTTTCCTGTCTTTTATGTTAATTGGGAGTGCAAGATTTGCCTTTTTGTTTCTGGTACAAATACCACTTTGTTGGGTAATTTAATTTTAGTAGCTAAAAATGTATACATAATCTTTATATAGTGCAAACACATTGTGGTTCATAATTCAAAAACTACACAGACTGAGTTACGACTGTATATCTTTCTTTTTTAAAATCATATATTTGCGTTTATTGCAACTTATGAACGAATAATAATTGCTTAGTAATTTCAGTATCAATGATTTTATGAATCTTTGATACCATAAAGCATTGATGTACGAGAAGTGTGCTTTCCATCTGTTTCACTTATTAAGCATTTAATTGTCACAGTTTAAAAAGGAAAGTGTGCAACAAGCTCTCCCTTGTGTAACCAAAGAGTCGAGTTGCTTTTATATTGTTGAACATGAGGGGTATATCTTTTACTGCTCGTGTTTTAAAAACAAAAGGAAGATATAAGCATTCATAGTAATTGCTAGTTAATGCAAGAAGAAATTGTAACTAGGTTGGCACATATTCTTATTATTATGTTACAATGATTAGATAAAAGACATTATATTAGTGTCGTGTACGAAAGAAATAGAAGATTTAATTCATATAATGTAAACAAGATATTTTTCTAAATTTACTTGTTTATGAAGTAAGCAACAACAAAAAAAAAATAAGTAAAGAAAGGTTTTTTGTCAATAGTGCAAGTTACAATGTACACTTTGCAGAATACAACTTATGTACTGGATATTTCCTTCAAGATACACATCTAGAATATCTTCTTTTTTCAAGATACAAAAAAAGTCAACAAAAAATGCAAAGGAATAACATTTCAGTGAACGAACATTTTTGCAAACAGTTTAAAATAATCATTTTTTTTGTGTTTTCTTTGTGTCTTCAACAGAAATTGAGATATTGCAAATGTTCACGTTAAAGGAAATACCCTGTTTAGTATATTTTTTGTACTCATACGTTAATATTATATCTTATCACATCAGTGTTCATTTCCTTTTTATTTCAGAAAGTAATATTGCAATAATTTAATTTTGTTACTTCTTCAACAAACTTACATAATATATTTTATGTAGTATCATTTTGATTGATTTTTATATTTTACAATATATCCAAAGGTATAACTTAAAAAATAATGTATGTATTAAATATAAGCTGTATTCTGCAAGCAGAATTACATAGCATTGTATACTTCTTGAACCAGTACATTTTTTGTTAGAGTATTCCAATTTTAATCGTGAGTTAATTTGAATTTGCTGGAAGTAATGATACTTCTATATTTATGTACATAACGAAATTTGATGTATATACATGATGCGTACTATTTAGAGATCTCTGAAATGTACATTATACAGGCTATTCTATTTGAGTTAACTATTTTTAATACTCTGATTCATTCGATCTTTGTTAATACGTAAATGTTCTTACAATATATTTTATTATCAATTTTCTTATAAAAATGTGTACATATTGACTATGTATCTTAATAATATTACTATGGTTTGAAGAAACCAAAAATGCGTTCATATTATTTAAATCAAAACGTAAATAAATTCACTTTTTCTTTTTAATTCTATGAATAATTTATTAGTTAGTCAAGTGAGAGTAGCCTTTGAAAATTATATAATGCCTAATTTCCATAATTTATTGTTCATTAATTGTTTTATAATTTGTATCACTTCTTTGGTATATTTTACTTAGATAACAATTTCGATACATGTGCACTTATACGAAAATTATAATGAATATATCATTGAATATTGGTAATATATATTAATAATTTCTTGGAAATTGTTCATCATGCAAAACAAACACTTTCTTTATCTACATAAATGATATATTTCATTATAGATCATTGTAGGAAAGATATTGTTTTTGGATATTTCATATTATATTATGTACTGGTATTTAAAAATTATTGGTATATGAATTAAGTATATTAGTAGAGTAAAAGGGAAGTGGTTACACACCTGATTTATACTTGCAAGAATATCCTAAAGCAATAATTGAATTCTACAAGAAACTTATTTTTCTAAATAATATTTAAATATTTTTCGTATTTTGTATATAATTAAAACTGTCATATATCGTTTTTTGTATAAAAAAAATAATTCTGTTTCGTGTACAAAAAACCAGTTTTGAGACTTCTTTCCAAATTACGGTTTTGGTTTTGTTTGAACAAAAAGTTCTTCGTTTATGGAAATTGGGCATACAATGCTATCAATTACGCACAATAGTGCATACCAATGGAAAGTGTAGGTCAACATAATCCAAACTATTGTACATAACACATTATACATAATTATTCATTTAGGATTACATACAGTGTGTATGTATGCAGAAACAAACTATGTACATTGTAAACATTTATTATATGGATAGGATACAGATAGTATTTTCTGCTGTCAATTCTTCAACTAAGACTGTGATTTTTAAATATACTAATGGCTAGGTAGATACAATACATATTGATTAAATATGATAAAATAAAAATAAAAGAAATATTCAAAACTTGTGCATTTCTAATGTTTTTGTTCATTTTATACTCTCTTAGAAGTAACAATAACGTGTTTTCATTTGTCATCTAAGGTGCCATAAGAAAAATAAGACTGAATATATGTATGCACTATACATATACATATAGCTCGAAATGTAAAAATGCCTGGGCAGTCGGGATTCGAAATTGTATGCCGCGAAGACGGACTTTAGCTGTTCAAGAGCAAGAAGGAAAGACTTCCCGTTCACGTTATTCATCCATTTCCCGAAGTTGCATGAAATGCTCACCGAGCGTAACATGTGGCTCGTGCGGTAAGATATGTCCGATTTCCCCACCACTCTGTTAAACGCTAAGGATGTTCGTCGTTACTAGTATCGCCGTCGGTGCGTTCAATTATGCTAAATCTGGCCATACTGGACCACACTGTTCCGGTAAGGAACATCGATTTATCCGGCAAAAAAGTGTCATTTAGTAAATTTTGAAATCATCATTTATTTACAGTAAGAAATGATACAATTAATTGCATAGGGTTACTGCAACATGGAATGTTGAAACATTTTTATATAGATTGAAAATAAATCAATTTTGAAATACTGTCAGGTATGTATATGTTTTGTTAGAAAAATGTGTTATATAATTTATAGAAAGAAATTCAGCTATTTATTATTAACGGGAAAGTATTTGTTTTAATACATTATATCATTTTATGTTTCAAATAACTAACCTTTATCGGAATTTGTGTTCATAACCTATACCGTTGTATGCATTTGTGTACTTGTAAATAAACAAAACTTTGTTTTCCTTTCTTTTATGTAAGTTGTCGAAAGAATTGTAATACTATTCTCAACGTTATATAGAATGGAAGTTATTGAGCTTGTATCCGATGAAGAAGCAATAGAGGATAATATGAAAGAGAATAAAAGTCCTAAAACTTACAACAGTACTTGCATAAATTTTCAATGTTGTTCTGGAACAGACATGAGATCGGCACCTTCGTTTGCATGCGCTTTTTATGGAGTAAATACAGAAAAGAAGAAAAAACGCATGATTTGCAAAAAATGTTTTAGTGCCGCATTGGACCATCAAAAGGTATATTTTTGTTTAAAATATCTTCTTTTATATTCTTAGTGTATCAAATAATTATAACATGCTATTAATTTTCATAGCAATTAGTAGCAGCTTTTGTGGATCACAAACCATTATTGAAATGTGAATTTCCGGATCATACGATGGAAGTAGAAATATCTGACAGTGATGATTCAGATGATGAAAAAAAGAAAGACTTGTACGATGAGGGTGAGATTGAAATTATCTTACATGATTCCAATTACAATCCTTGACTCGTTCAACCACACAGTCAAATGCAATATGTTCACCTTATTGATTAGTTGTATTGCATTTACTTACAGAAAAGTATTTACCCGAAGAAATGCTTATTAGTATGGAGGAAATGTTAGACAGTACATTAAAGAATATTCTTACAAAGTATGATGTTGACTATCAAATCAATGAGGCACACAATAAATTAAAAGAGCAATTGGATAATATAAACGGTACACTATTATTTTGCAAAATATGTATTTATATATAGTAAAATAAAATAACACAATATAATTTTCCGAAATAGAAGAAAATGAAGTTTTGGACACAACTGTTAGAGACTTGATGCGTACTATGGACACATTACGCAATAGCTTATACGATGAGTTCAGACCACAAATTCAGATGCTTCAAGAGCTCCAAATTGACGATGTATCTAACGACAATGTTTCTTATTCATTGGTAGCAACAAAAAAAGTTACACAAGTACGAGTCTCACCTGCTGTATTACAGGATAATCAACCAGAGATTCTACCTATCGAACAAGACAATAAACAAGTTATAGCATTGGACTTACCTCCAACTGGACCACTTGTAAGACCACAAATAGATGTGGATGCCATTGTATATATTATGAAGCACCCACTTATGCCATGGATTAAGGGAAAAGTTAATAGATTAACTTTCATTTAGATGTTGCCAAAATAGTTTCATTCTTTAATATTTATTTAACATTTAATTTATTGTTTATTAGGTCCAAACTGTAGTTTCAAAAAGTCCCCTACACTGTCGTGTTAAGTTATTGCAAAAAAAATATAATTCAGTTATTAAGTCTGTTTTCGGCAAACAAACTGCACCTGCTATAATTAGCCAGGTGATAATACCAGTTGGTACGCGAGTAGTTGCAGTTTTCCGAGATGTTTCGTCTAGTAATTTTTATAGCGGCGTTATAGCTGAACCACCAAAAGCTACAAATAAATATAGGTATATTGTTTGTATAAAATTTCAATATATAAATTTAGTTCTAATACAATGGTGAATTTTGATAATTAGGTATTTGGTATTCTTCGATGATGGGTATGCTCAATATGTGGAGCATGGACACATTTATTTAGTTGCTGAATCTTCTTCCAAAGTTTGGGAAGATATACCTAATGAATCACGAGATTTTGTGAAAAAATATATTGATACATATCCTGAAAGACCAATGGTAAAGCTGCAAACAGGACAAGTAGTAAAGACAGAATGGAATGGCAAGTGGTGGATTGCTAGGGTAGTACAAGTTGATGCAAGTTTAGTGCAAATGCATTTTGATGCTGATGGAAGGACAGAATGGATCTATAGGGGTTCTGCCAGATTAGGACCATTGTATCTTGAGCTTTTAAAAGCCAATGCTAGGCAACAAGGTCATCATGCATCTGTTAATACACCAAGTCGACATCGACTTCCTGTCATTTCTAATGTATATAAACCATTTATTTTCTGTCATACTTTTATAAGAATCATACTGAATAAGATAAACTTACTAATATTTTAGAAAAGCAATTTACCTTATGTGGAATACACATCTAATGTAGAGAACGAAGAAGAAAGAATTTCTCAGGCAGAAAAAGAACAGACGCCTGTAATAAGTGAAAGTACAAGTATAACTACTTCAATTGCACCACAACAGACACGTGCTGTCGCTAGAAAGAGTACCAGTAAAAAACAAATTATTGTAGATACAAATACGTATAATCCTACTACGGAAACAAAACCTTCGCATAGCATAGTTGTAAGCATGTGGTATAAAGCAATTAAAATAATTCTTGCAGAAATATTGAAAATTAATTATGAAGATTTATAATTTGAAATGATATCATCTATTTATTACAGTATTATCAAACACAAAATAAAATTCAGACAAAGAAATTTGTTCTACATAAATGTGGTCCTCAATGCGTTGAGGGTATATCTTTTACACCTGATGATCTAAGAGGATATTCGCCTCTTTCAATACCATTACTTTGTGGATGGAACCGACAACTTTGTAAATATCCTAAAGGGAAAAAAATTACATTGTATCAAGCACCGTGTGGTGTTAGACTACGAAATATGGAAGAGTTGCATCAGTATCTTCGTAAAACAGGTAGTCCAATGTCGGTTGATCTTTTTGATTTTGATTATTGGGTACATTGTTTAGCGGAGTTCGTCTTAGATAAGTGTTTCATTAATATAAAGGTAAGTAAACAATGTACATTATAAAATTCTGTTAGTAGTTCGTATCGTGTAATTAAATTTATGTTTTCAATTTTAAGGATCTCAGTTATGGTGTAGAAAATGTACCAATACCATGTGTCAATGAATTAGATCACACTCAACCAGATACTATACGATACAGTACACAAAGAGAACCGACCGAAGGCGTAAATCTTAATTTAGATCCGAATTTCTTGTGTAGTTGTGATTGCGTAGATGATTGCGAAGTATGATTGTTTAATTAAGATAATATATATTTATTACTAGTTATATACAAATCTTGTTTAAATTTCGCTCTATCGATGTTATTTTATTATTTTATAGGACAAAACAAAGTGTCAGTGTTGGCAATTAACAATACAAGGCGCAACTCTTGGAGGAAGAGTACCTAACACATCTGTTGGTTACGTGTATAAACGTTTACCAGAGCCAGTGACTACTGGAATTTACGAATGTAATTCAGGGTGTAAATGTGCCATAAAAACTTGTCTCAATAGAGTAGTGCAACATCCGTTAACATTAAAGTTACAAGTATTCAAAACGGCTCCTCGCGGTTGGGGCATAAGATGTCTAAATGATATTCCTCTTGGATCTTTTATTTGTATATATGCTGGTAGATTACTTACAGAACAGGTAATTGTAAAAAAATATAATATAAACTATTATTAATGGTATATATTAAATAAAAAGATGCTAACATTTTAATATTTGTTCATATTATAGGGAGCTAACGAAGGTGGTAAAAATTATGGTGATGAATATCTTGCTGAATTGGATTATGTTGAAGTAGTAGAAGGAATTAAGGAAGGTTACGAAAGCGATGTTCTTGAGCCAGAAATGCCATTGTCTACTCCAGAAAATAAAAAGAAATCTATTACAAGTGATGATGAAGATAATACGAAAACAAATGGTAATGATTCAGATGAAGACTTTGATATTACTAAATATGTAAATTTTAATGTAGATTCTACGGAACCTTCGTCTATCAGGTAAGTAAAAAGATATTAATAATATTATCCAACGAGTACAAATCTTTTTCGTATTTTAATAAAATACGATGCTGTAACGCTTTAGGAAACGGCTTAGGAAACGAAAACGAGATGAACCTAACCAAGACGGATCCGAAGAAAATAGCGAAGACGGAAGCAGTACTAAAAATTCTGAAAATCCCATGAAACCTTCCATTAATGAAACCCGTCCGAATGATCAAGACACAATTACAATAAGTGATGAAGAAGAAAACAGAAGCGGTAGACGCGAACCAAGTAGATTCGATCCAACAGTAGAACCAGCACAATTAGAAAGACCTACATTTAAGTCAGTAAGAGATTTCTTTGGAGAGGATGAGGCTGTTTATATAATGGATGCTAAAACAACTGGAAATATTGGACGCTATCTAAATGTAAGTAAAATATGTATCAAATTTTATCTTAAAATATAAACGTTAATGAGCAATTAGATGAACAGTAAATTATAAGTATAAATTCCAAATAATTTTGTTGGCGATATTTTAGCATTCTTGTGATCCAAACGTTTTCGTTCAAAATGTATTTGTTGACACACATGACGTAAGATTTCCTTGGGTGGCATTTTTTGCTTTAAATTATATTAGAGCAGGTCAAGAATTGACATGGAATTACAGCTATGACGTCGGAAGTATACCGGGTAAAGTTATTATATGCAAATGCGGCGCGTCTAATTGCAGGGGTCGACTTTTGTAATGTATGAGATACTTTATACAGGAATAATAAAATTAGGATTTATAAACGTATGTAGTTCTCTTTTTTTTTTAAATATACATTCTACAATATTAAATAAAAGTACATCGTTTATTATTAAAAGATATGTTTATACTTAATTATTTTTCATTAATATTGACAATTTATTTGGCATGTAATTGTAATATAAATGCAAATATTTCACTTAAAAGTTCTTGTTGTATTTTTTATTCATTAAAATATAAATTAGTTTACAAGATGAAATAGACCTGTGGAATGAAATAAACTGTATTACATTTTAGAAATTGTAAAGTATCTACTTGAGAAAATTTTAATGTGCTACATATTATAATACATTTTATGTAGTTAGAAAACACATAAGATTTCTATCATAAAAAAGATATATATCATAGGACCATCAAATGTAATACAGTCTTCGTGTGTTTAGTAATTGACATTGAATAAAGAAATTTTGGCATATAAGAAGACTTATTGATATTTAGAAATTTCATTAATTATTAAAACTCCGATGTTTCGATATTGAATAATAAATAAATGATAAATTCAGGTTTAATAAAATACAACAGCATACATAACAATGATGCATTGGCTTATTATTTTTGATTATTGTACACCTTTAAAACCTCTTACGACATGTCAAGTAATTAGTACCATAAAGATAGCTCTTTAAACTCATTCTATAATTTATACATGTCTTTCTTGAAACTTAGTTAAATTATGTAAGTATATCTCGTATCGAGTATTTAGTATTTTGTATATTTATAATAACTTTCTCGCAAAAATATTAAAATAAAGCGGAATTATTGTTTCGATTGTAGTTCATAAAAAAATGTATAAAAAAATTCGTAACGTACATAAATTAATAACACATATTTAAAATATGATGCTGCTTCTTACGAATGTATCAAAATATTTTTTGCTATATGTGGTTACATGCTTTAAAAATAAATTTGTTCCTGTTGGTTTTACAAAAGAACCTGTATGATATACTACTTTAAAGCTGAAATTATAGATACTTTGCATCCCTAAGAATAACCATGTAAGAGTATGAGTTCATGATTATATGCTCCAGATGTGCAATATATTATTATAAAACTACATTCGTGTATCTATATTTTTTTAATTTAAAGTGCATAAATATGATAGTCTAGTTATATGCAAGAAATTAAGACAAAGCAATTGTAATACTCCTATGAGGAACATTAAAATACTAAAATAACAAAATTATCGCTCTGTATCCTGTTTGGCTTTATGTTAGTGAAGTTTAAGCAGCCATTTGATCTCTTCTTTTTCAGCAGCGTCCAAGTAACTGATTCCATGTGGCGTTAATCCATCTGATTTAGCTCCCTTTTCTAATAATAATTTCACACAATTCGTATGTCCTTCCCAAATTGCTGCTAATAATGTTGTTATACCATGCTTGTCTGTAGCCTGTACATAAATATGTTGTCTGCATTTGCATAGTTCGTATGATACTTTTGCATATATATCATAAATATACTGTTTTATTTCTAACTTAAATTTACATGAAAACAAATATGATTTCTTAAGAAAAAAGATAATGAGTTAAAGTTGCATATTGCGAAGAAAATATAAAACAGATATAGACATAAGTCAGTGTTTTCCAAACTAGTTGTTGTAAATCCTAGAAAGCCACTATACAATCCTAAGGAAGTACAAAAAAAAATGTAGACAACTTGCACATCTCTTTGTATATTAATACATTTACATTCAGAACTTGACAACTGTAAGAATATATTTTTTGTGTATCATTTTAAATATTCCATTTATCTAAATTTAATTTTTGTTGTATTATATTATTTGCAATATAACTATAATAAATGTATTTTATCTATTTGTGCAAAACTTTCACAAAATTTAGTTCAACTAGAGGTTCATTTTAATTTGTTTTTTTATGTTCAATAAGTAAAGAATTTCATTGAATTAAAATAAAAAATAATAATTTTGTTCAAAGTATGAGATTTATCAGTATAATGGAGCACTAATTTTCATTATTCCATTATACTATATTTAGTAGCTAAGGATATTACTGTTTTATTTAATTAAATAAAATAAAATACAAATTTTTTATTCTATATATCTTGAACAGATATTTGTCTTTAGCGGAATACCTTTCAAAAAATTTGGAAATCACTGACATAAGTATATAATTTGATCTGTACTTTATTAGTTCATGCAAGGATTTTTATAAAAAATTAAATGACTTATGTTTCTATGGCATGTACTAATGTAACAGTTAGAACATATTTACATTAACATTTGCACCCTTTTCCAAAAGGTATCTGATCACTTCACTTTGACCATAATCGGCTGCATAGTGCAGTGGTGTTCTTCCATCAATCATTTGATTAACGTCAATATCCTATCGATAGAAATAGATTTATAACTGGATATACGTTTAATCAGGAAAAAATATATTTTTCATTTAGAATGAACGCATAAATAATTTTTCCAACTGTTATTTTAATCGATTAACGATAATTTTTCATTTAGAACAAATAATACAAAGATTAGCAAATGCAGTAATAAATACTAAGAAAGGTATCACTGTGACGTCTCTAATTAGCCGACAATCAAAACGCAGATGAAAGAAAGGAGGTGGTTTAACATCTTATATTTGCCTTATTTTCAACGATATCCCGCACTTGCTCCAAATCACCATTTTTTATTCCCCAAACGAGTTCACCCATTTTTGTTATGGGTTACTGGAAGATTCTTGTATAGAAAACACAGTCTTTCGAACGTTCACGTTTATCAACGTTTATTCTAACCAGTTCACGCTCGTAGCATACATAGTGACCAGATGAGCCGCCTTTTTCACTCATGCGCACTGGAAAGCAGCGGTGTGCTTAGCTTATGTTAAGGGCGTAAAGTCTAGTGGACCCCCGACACGCGAGTCGACCGCGTAACATTGTTGTGTTGTGAACGTAGTCCATCGCGTTCATGTAATGAATTTCGTGGTAAACTGATACGTTATAACAGTTATTTCAATATTTGTCTCTCTTTTGGAATTTTTCTATTCATTTTTCACAAAAATTTATATCATTTTCTAATCTAATTAATCACAGGGCCATACGATACCCTTTTCTCTTCGATTTTACTACTTTGCTGAAACCATTTTCGATGCGCATGCGCAAAAAGGTGGCCCATCTGGTCACTATGCTTATACTCACGTCCATTAAATTTGGTTCTAGGCATAGCGAATTTTGCTGGAAGAATTTTTCCGTGCTGCTAACATGTATGCGTATGTAACAATAAAACTAAATCCTCGCTCGTCTATTTACGATACAAATAAAAAGGCTGATACAATAGGGTTTGATAATTCATTACAAATTTTGTTCACACAAGAATCGGTGTTTGAACTATAGATATATGAAACCATTAAAGGTGAGAACTCGTTTATTATTTAAATCTTAGCTTTTATTCAAGTTCTTTCTATTCATGTATGTATCTAGTTGATAGAGGCGTCGTTAAAGAAACTTTTAACATTGTCGAGAATGCACAAATTTACACTATTTTTCTTTGAGTAAAGTCGATCATTTATTTGATACGATTAAAGGTTTATTTTTAAATGTATTTTATATGATTAGATTAGAATTCCTTTTACTATAGTAATCGTCATAGGGCAGACCTGTTAAGGTCTTCCTGCTTATGACACTGTCTCTTTTGTTTTAAGAGCGGAACACGAAGAAATAAAAACGACAGAAATATTATGAAATAAAAAAAGATATTGTTTTTTTGTGAGGAAGTTATTAATCAATTTTAAGCATTTTAGGTTGGCTTATGTTACAATTTGATTGCTATAATCAAAATCAGTCTTATAAACTTGCAGAAACAATAGTCAGTTGGTATTATCACAGACGAGATACATGAATAGACCTTTCACCTAATTTAATTTTTCGGCCCGAGTTTCTGGGGTCCCGGGACCCCATTACCATTTTCGTGTCACTCGCAACGTTATCAACAGATTCAGAAATGAATTTTAATCCTGTGCCTATCAATACTAATTCAGTGAATAGTTTCTCAACTGACCGCTATCCAGGAGAAGAGGACGCTAAAATCACCTCCGAATTTTTCGCTCAGTATTGCAATTGTTTGAACTGACGTACAAAAAGACAAAAATTAACGAGATATACTCTTCCAACGTGGAATAAAATGTTGTGAAGATCATGCATCAAATTGTAAGGGGATCCTCGTACGAAGGCTTTAATCGTTTGACGCTTTAATCGATGATCAACAATGACTAGCTTATGGTCACTGGTGGTCAGCAGTGAGGTTGATATCAAGGTCAGCGATCCGGTGAAGATCCAGAAATGGTCAAGAGGTGGGACCAATCGAAATAGTTTCTTTGCAGACAGGACAGTCTTACCTGTTAACTTCAACTTTGATTCTGACTGGTCTCCCCACCCTTTCATCACCTTAATCATATAAGCAGGGTCTCTGTGCAGAATTCTTCAGTCTCGTCGCGGATTCGGGAGTGGGCAAATAGCCAGAAGTGAACCGGGGATCGCTGCTGACCACTACTGGCCTGCGCTGACCAGGGCTGACCACTACTGACCACTACTGACCAGTGCTGACTCGGGTTCCTGCCACTACTGACCACTACTGACCAGTGCCGGACGGTGATGACCAACGGTAAGAACTGTTCAAAAATTCTTTCCCCTCTTCTATTCTATCGTTTGATACCAATTTCGCTTCACTGAACTGATTTTGCCTTGGTTGTCTAACGGATGTTGCTATAATATGAATATTTTCTTACTTTACAGCTGGCGCAATGGTAACTACCCTATGTATTGACAACAAGTAGTAAGTCCACTCCATTTATTTATATTTTATTATTTTTATTTGTTTGTTTGTTTGTTCCTTTTCTCTGTTTCCACTTTTACATTGTTCTTCGTATTTAACATTGTTTTTAATCCTATACTATATTTGTTTCTATACAATATCATGAATTTGTATTTTTACGTTTCAGCTTAAATTCTTGTAACATTTTGCTAACATACTCTGTTCAATTCCTTTTAGTTAGGTAATAGATCATTTTTAAGTGTTTAAAAACCTCCTTTTTAACCCCTTAGCTTAATGATGTTTCAGAGACGTGATGAGTCTACCGTGAACAAGACGTCTCAGAGAAGTGATAAGTCTACCGGGCCAAACCTTGATGACGCTTTTGGCACGCACAGTTGGAAATTAAATCGTAAGGCAAACTTAAGCTTCGGCTGGTTGTATATGTGCTTTCTTTGGCAAGTGTAGTTAGTACCTTTTGCTTAAAATTATAATCTTCTTGCACACCGCGATTTTTAAGATGACAAATGTCATAGTAGATTCATTTTTAATTTGACACTCGTTTTAAAATGAATATATAATGAGTACATATACATATATGAGTAGTTCACTTTCTCTCGTCCGCTCGTTCTCTGGTTCTCGCTTTCCGAGATTATGTCTCGACCGAAAGGACCGGAGAGTTTTGCTCGATCACCTCTGTTTGATAGAATGAAACATGTGACACCTGTGTATTAGGTGTGATAGCTCTTACCGCTTCAACCCCGGTGCAGCTTGGTTCAGCTTAAGTGGGGCCTCGCCGAGCGCATATATTCTCCTCTTTATACGGAAAAGAGAATGACCTCCGGTGAGAGTCCTTGACCCATATCCGTTCTCGAGTACTAAGCGGGTCCTGTTGTGATCTTGTGTCCTCCAGGACCCGGCGGTTGTACGTAGAGAGGTCCGATAGACGTGGGTCAGGGGCGCGACTTGCTTTTCTGATAATCAAGGCCGGGGGGGATCAATCTGATACCCACACTCAATGCACGCTATGAGCACGTGTCGCGTCGCGTTTTATTTAAGCGTGCGATGATTTTTACACGCCGCAATTTTTAATATGACAAATATCGTAATATCAATCGAAAGTAGAGTCATGATATTAATATCTTTTATAATACTTATAATTATATTAATTTTAGAATGAGTGTCAAATTAGTAGCTTCCGATTGTTCTTTACATTCTTCAATAATTAAATTCACTTTCACAATTGAGTTGACGATTTTGGCTATCTTCGATATCGAAGATACCCAAAGTCTCTCTTTACTTATTAAAATATATCATTAGATTGACGTGCAAGAAGATATTTCCCGACGAATACATTTTAGAGTCAAAGTAACCTCGTATATTATGTACTATTTTTACTTTCTCACTGCACTTGCCTGTAGTTGTAGTATTTGTAGTTTTACTTGTTTTGTTTTGTTTGTTCTCTTACTAATCTATTAAACAAGTTTCTGTTACAGAGCATATTCCTATGGAAGTTTTAGGTTTGTAGAAGTAATAATTAAGAATTGTTACAATTTTGATTGATATTGCTTCATTTGTGTTTCAGGAAATCATCGTGGGATAAATAGAAGAAAGAAGAAAGAAGAGTGTATTTCATGTATTTTGTTTCAGATTGCTTAGTTTATGTTTTAATAATTTAGATTTATATTTAGGTAGAATGTTACAGTATGTTTCAGGAAATCTTCGTCGAAGGATCAACAAGGAAGAATATATTTTCTATGTATTTTGTTAGATGATTAGATAGGTAGGATGTAAGTGAATTTAGATTTATAGTTAGGCAGGAGTTTGGTTCTCTATATTAATCATTATATCAGGCAGGCAATATTTTGGTCTATGTCTCTGTTTTGTTGATGAGAATTTAGACAAATTGTTTCTCAAAAAACTCCTTCGTTGGTTGTTTCCTTCGTTGCTTGCACTTTCGTTTATTGCTTCTTCGACCAACGATTGTTTTATTAATGGAGGGTGGTTGGGAATCGGTTAGGGCGGGTCTCCATTCGCAGCAACCTCCACGTGGTGAGACCTGGGTAATGTTATTTAGCGTTTAATTAATAATCGTATCACTCTTAGCTGGGTAATGCAATTATTAATTAAAAACTGAATAATATTAGCAAATTGGCTGCGATCCGCCTTGCATAGGTCATCATAAATATAGAGCTTCTTCACTAGGTTAGTTTTGATTCTCATTGATTCATAAAAGATTCTAGAGTATTGTCACAGATGCGGTATAGAAGTAGATCTTTCACCCAATGGATTTTTTTGACCCATTTTTATGGGGTCTCGAAATCCCATTACCATTTTCGTGTCATTCGCAACGTTACCAACAGATTCAGAAATGAATTTTAATCTCTTCCATAGTCAGCTCACATGTATTTACGCAACACTACAGATGTTGCCTATCCATACTAATTCAGTGAATAGTTTCTCAACTGACCGCCATCCATGTGAAGAGGACGCTAAAATCACCTCCGAATTTTCAGATCGGTATGGCAGTCAGATTGGGCCAGGAAAGTCCATAAGGTGAAAGCACGGACGAGGTATACTCGTATACCTCGCATAGAATGTGTATTAATGAGACGAGTGTTTAATTAAATAGATATTTATTTAATTACATATAATTACAATCACACATGTTTTTACATTACATACGCAGAACTGTCTATTTCCAGAAGAAAAAAAAACGAAAATTAGTTCTCTTTTGGGTAAAATTGTTGCAACCGGAATTGAGAACAAACGATAGCATTTGAATCTCATTTCCGGGACTAGGAGACTGAATAGACACAATGCTGTAAAACGACGCTGGTTCGCTAACATTAACGATAGTATTGCTATTGTATTTTTATTTTTCTGCCTGGTTTTGCAGAATTGTGTATTGACTTTAAAAATGGAAGTACATCAATTATATACAACGTAATTTTAATCCCGCGTGAAGTTAAATCACGTTGAAAGGTAACAGGAAGTTGTTATGTGGCCTCCTCGAGATGTTTTCTCGGATATAGGTATGCATTGTTATTCCAACGTTACAATCTTCCTTCCTCTTTTCTTTTTAGATATATTGTCTTCGACTACTTTATTAACATTAATTTATAATGATTAATATTTTTCTGTTCCAGTTAATTTTTCATTTCCTCTAGAGATTCTTCGAGAACGAATATTTGTAAAATTGTTACGGTATTCGTAATACGTATCGTGAAAGAAAACCGAAACCCATATTGTCACATAAATTATATAAAATACCGCGTTAACTAGTAATCGATAGGAAAACAATATAATAAAACAGAAGTGGGTATCTTTGTGTCGAAATCGCGATCTGACATGAAATCGATTAATATTTTTGTTATTCGATTGACTGTTTGGTTAGATCCGCGGAGGCCAAATGTTATGTCCGGTATTATGCTTTCGCTGGAGCCGTTTTCGGTGACTTCTCGTTCTCTACGATTTCCGTGGGTGGTGGCAATGTTGGGATTTCCGGGTATTCGAGTTTCGCTCCTTCCTCGCATTCGAACTGCGGACAGCAGTCTGGGAATGGTGCTGTCTTGTTGGTTTTCTCCGAAAGCTTGCATTTCGGGTTGGCTTTCGGGAGAGGCCCGCAATCCTCAACAAGCTCGAACAGGCGACCGGAGTTGTCATCTTCTGGTACGCAAGTGGAACGACCGCAGAACGGTGCCAGGTCCCATGATTTCATTGGCTCAATGGTTGCGCATTTTGTAGAAGCGAAACATAGGCCAGGAAAATCTATAACAGAACATACATACATGTCTTTACGAATAATCATAAACAATCGTTTGTTAACCACCACTGTATCGATACGATAGCATTGTCTGTGGTTACATCCTAACAGCAAACTGGCTTGTAATTTATGGAGAACACGTTTCCGAATTACATCGAATATGTTACGTAAAGGAAGTATCGGATCAGTACATTGCACAAACTGGAATCCAATACATAATTACGTAATATAATGATATTTATGCAACAAAACATACCGCTACTTGGCAGGGTTTTTCATTTTGGAAACGATATCGATATCTTTTGGTTCGTTCGTTAGAAATAACTAAACGCCCGTTACACGGAAGATCTCGTGAATTCAGAATCGGATATTTAATACTATTTCTAGCAAAGGTATCAGAAGACGCGAATTAAAAGTGCAATTATTGTTTTTTTTTTTTTTTTTTTACTGTTGCATCAACCCATTAGGGTCATTAGCAACCACAATACCTTACAAACGTTTGATATAGCATCAGGTTATATAAAATGAATAAATTTTATACGTTTAACATAGAAATATAAGGTCCGCTAGACACAGAGATTAAGTTAAATTAAATGAACTATGTTTATATGTTTAAGAAATTGTAGTACTCTTAAGCAAGAAACTGCAGTCCTGGTTACTTCTCTGGAGTTTCCATCAATTTGGTAGAATGTTCTCTCCCATTTTTGTTATGCCTCCCCTTACGAATTTGAATTGTTTTAATTACAATTTCGACAATATTCATGCGATTAATCTCTCATAAAATACTATTCCAGATGAATCACCGGTAACTTTTCACCCGATCACCGCGACGATGCGAAAGTAAAATCTCATTCTGTATGGACAACAGCTCGCGCAGATTGCAATAATCTCTTCGATACGAGCCCTGTGTACTACGCGTGGACGGGTGCATTAGCCACATACATATACATGTATACCTATGCACTCGTGAAAGGTGTTGTTACTTTCTAACGTATATACGTACCTATGTGCTGCGGTAAAACTGTTTTAATCAGCATCGTCATGCCTTTCGACGTACCCATACAGAGACGTCGCAGAAAACGGAACGCGTCCTAATGTATTATAGACACGACGGAGAAGTTTCGTTGACGGTGATTTACGGATTGAAAACCTCGAGGAGAAACACCTTCGCTGTCACATCGAGTTACCACTTGTGCAATTATTCGCCAACTCTGATTGAATCGATTGATATGCCTCGAATGCTTCTTTCTCTTTGGTTTAAAATTCACAAGCTCGTTGATTACGGAAACAACGACGTGAATATTCAATGATAGGTATGGTCAAACCAATTGACTAATCGGTAAATAATAAACACCTTCGCTGTCACATCGAGTTACCACTTGTGCAATTATTCGCCAACTCTGATTGAATCGATTGATATGCCTCGAATGCTTCTTTCTCTTTGGTTTAAAATTCACAAGCTCGTTGATTACGGAAACAACGACGTGAATATTCAATGATAGGTATGGTCAAACCAATTGACTAATCGGTAAATAATAAACACCTTCGCTGTCACATCGAGTTACCACTTGTGCAATTATTCGCCAACTCTGATTGAATCTATTGATATGCCTCGAATGCTTCTTTCTCTTTGGTTTAAAATTCACAAGCTCGTTGATTACGGAAACAACGACGTGAATATTCAATGATAGGTATGGTCAAACCATTTGACTAATCGGTAAATAATAAACATCGGGAATACTCCAACATACCGTTGAATATACTTGGTGAATCGTGTACTTAAATTACTGTACCGCCTAGAAATGAGGTCATCCAACTGTTTCGTGTAACATAAATGCATGTTTCCTTTTTACACATTTATCTGAATTCAGTGTAAAAGATCACCGTGTTCTATGAACGTGATTTATTTAAGCAGTGACGTGTTTGTTACAGTTTTCTCAATGCCATCGTTACACCGAAGGTTTTATGCGATGGACGTTCACGCCAACTCTGTATGTACTGCGGTTTATGGTACCAGTTCTTGCGGGACACCTGGATCACAAGAAAGTAGCTCGAGAAGTTTCGTGTCGGATGGTCGAACATTCGAGATGAACCTTGGAGTACGTATTCGTAAGCGCTGCAACACGTTTACCGCGGTGAAAAAAATCGCCTTATCAAATGCAATCGATGCTAATTAATTTCTGAACGCGCAAACACCGATGCGAGGGTATTGTACTCTCTGTATGCCGAGAAACCAGCCTCTCGAAAAGAGAAAGGGTCAGACACACGATTCCACGTTTCGTTGAGTAATGTTATTAATAACATTGTAAGATTTCAGCGGCAAGAAAAAGTAATCTAACGGTAACGCGGTAAATGGCAAAAAACGTTGAAATCGACACGATAATTTATTAAACTCGTGCACGCGTCCATGCAACCTGCCGGTATGATTTATTTTAAAAGCGTTTTAACGCTGGCGAAATAAACGTCGCTACATAATTGGGAAGAAAACCATTTCAGGAAGCGGTAGAACATGATTCATAGCGGACTCCTAGACTTTCACCGACGTTAAGATTCGTCTGCTTGCAAGGATTAGCTTTCATGTCAGTAGGTGTAACGTTACGTTTGTTCGCTTTATTTTTCACGAAAAGCTAAGCTTCCACGTTAAATTTCAAATAGAATTAATTAAGTAGAAGTTTCTGATATGGGATAATTATACCTCTTATCGTTTATCTATTCGAGTAACAAATACACAGGCTGTCGTATCGATAAGTGTCTAATGTTTCTCCGTAATAACGTGTTATTTGTCGCGGGGGCAGTCGTGCGTGTCTCATTTAGAAAGACTTCTGTTACGGCGAATTAGTCAGGAGATAAAGCAGCCTCTACTGCAACGTGCAATCATTGATTGCACGACAGGATAATCAAAGGGTAAACGATTCGTTTGAAAATTTACCAACAAATACGTGCAATCATCTTTCACCGCGAATTTTCATTCGGGGGCCCACTTTCGTCGCTAACGGCCCAGCCCAGGGCTCTACTTTCTGAAACGGGTACACCGAAACGTTCGTGACTGAGAAACATAACTTCGATGAGAACGAATGAACCGTTTCACGAATAATCTTTCAAGTATTCGCTGATAAACCACCCATTGATCGAAGCCTATTCTAACGATCAATATCATAATGTCACCAATGGTACATCGGTTTGATAATTTATCTGATGATCGAGTAACGTTATGCCCATCTTTGCGTTGCATCGAATCTTTTTCTGTTCGAATTTCGTAATGCGATGTTGTCTCGTTATCCTTATTCCGCGTGCGTATAAATAGCGTGTCCTCAGTGTTCGAACATTGCCCTGGACACGCGACAACGTACATAAAAGTACGTAACACCGTGTTCGGATTTAAAACGACCGATCGTGAGCAATTCGATTATTCATCGGAATCTAGGTTCGGAGCAAAATGTACGGAGTATCTGGGTCACGTTGCCTGGGGCCTGATCCATGATATCGTATGAATCAGAATCGACAAGGACACTATTAACACATTGACAACCGATCGAGAAGATATCCTTCATTGCGCCAGGATAGCGGGATTAAAAATACGTAACAAGTGTGTTTACATTAACTGAACGCGACATAAAACTTGAACCTGAAGGGATTCAACAAGCAATACAAGTATAGTCGTAATAATTTAAATATATTTTTTTATATAGAATTGCGGTAGAATTTGGAATGGAACTTTGATGATTAATAATAATTGCCCGCGATAACCAATGGCTAGTAAAGTGCAATAACTGTGCTACGTGAGTTTATTGGCTTACGATTTCCGTAAGATAAGATGCATCAATTCCATTTCTATCCCGTTGCACACTTGTATGCACATTACGCAGTCGCTGGTAATAATCTGGCCGGTCAGTCGAAGCAAGTGTAAATTTCATTTATAAGGAACGTGGAATTTTGCCCATGGGAATTGACACTGTTTCGTATCGAGCGATCGACCTCGAATCCACAAAAGACACAATTTAGCGTCTCGTAATGCGATTAATTGCAGATTACGGGCGCGTATTTCGTAAAAGGTAATTTACCTTGAAGACGTAGCCGCGTTCGACCGATGCAGGGCGTGCCGTATAAAGAAAAATCATGCGAGAAAACGAAGCGAGCCTGGTCGTGGTATATGGTCAAGAATAGCGAGAGTTACACTATAAAACTTTCACGCGGTTCCGGTGATCTTGACTGCGACCATTGTTCCCTATTTATCTGCACGCATGTCCGCCCAAATTGTACGCAACCATGAATCGAGATCTACGGAGTCGACGGACACGGCCTGTCGCCGAGAACAATCGTCGTTTCTTCGAGAGAGAAAAAAAAGAGAAGAATGTGACCATTTGTCTTGGAAACAGTCTCGGTTCGATGAACAACGCGACGAGATGACTGCCAAGCACAATGGTGGAGCACGAGGTAAAAAGAGTCTCGTTTCAAGGCTCTCTTTTAATTGTGAATGGGAAAGCTGGAGAAGCAGCATTTGCATCCGGAATTATCGAAACTATGCTTAACCACATTTTTACTATGTTACAGAACTGGTAAACCATTCGTAACACATAGAGTGTTCGAATAGTAAAATGTTCAGATAATTGGTATTCGAATAAGGGGTTTCCACTGTATTATATTTGCGATATAATTTCTATTAAAATACTGTCCGAAGTGGTCGAAATCGTCCTACTTTCGAAACTCTTGCGTACGCGCGCTTCTCTCGATCCGACGAACGGTTTGTCGGATGAAAATTGTGTAAAAAATGTGCATGAATGAAAAAACCGGTCGATCGTCCAATCGACAGTCTCCGATTTTGATGGAATATTGTAAAATATTGTCGGAGGTAATGCGAATATAAATACACCAGAATTGCACCGTGTACCGTGATACCTATTCTTGAAAATTATCCGTTGCACGCAATGTTCTTTCTTCTACAACATTTAGAATAGATTCACGGAACATTGTACAATTTTGCGACGTTTAAAACTTATCGTTCGTGGACTAAATTACTTAAACTTGCGTAGGAGGAAAAACTGCGATTGCAACGTCATGTGGTCGACAGGATTAATACGTCGCAACATCCCTAACGGAAAAGAACTGAACGGTATTATAATTGCGTTATAGTCTGCCGGCGAAGGGACTGACGACAAGACCTAAAGTAGAGGTGATAGAATTTTGAAAATGGAGACTCACCGCGAAGAATATCGGCTGGAATGAGCCTTCTAAATGTTTTAGGACGTTCTTCCTCCTTCTTCTCTTCGGCGGCAAAGGCGACCGCGACGACAAGCAACAAGATCGGGATGAGCTTCATGGTCTCAGGATGATGTGGAGAGGGAGGATATCAATACCGAGCCTATCGAAGAAGGAAGGTAAAAAAAGGGCCTTCGTGTACCGATTAAGACTGGTTGGGTCCGATTCTCGTACGGGCATTTTATAGCTGTCTACGGGGCGGGGTCCTGCAGTCCCCACCAGACATTATGGTCTCTCACATGCCGATTGTCGCGAGGTCGGATTTCAGCTGCTGCAAGAGCACGAAGGAAAGGCTCGCACTCGCCTTCTTTCTCGATTGTCCGAATTCGCGCGAAGAGTGGAGCACTGCTCCGTTCAGCGTTAAAGGAAATTCGTCGTTGCTAATGTCGTCATCGATGCGCTCGATTATGCTAAATCCAGCCACACCGCTCTCACCTTTTGAACCACCAGTCGCCAAAGTATCGTTCGCGTTTCACGCTCGATCGTCGAGCTCCTCGTCTTTGTACGAAAACTTGGTCGCACTGCTCGAGGAAAGATGCATAGAAAACTATTGTATTTAATTTTTATAAAGAAATTTTCGAATACCGCATCCTCTCCGCCAGCCGGCGACCAAGCGTATTTATCGCGGTCAGGTTTTTTTTTTATCAGAGGTGTCACCCGACGTGGACCCTCTCACGCACTATCGAAATATGTAAATCGAATCGGATCCACGACCAATGCATTTCACTTGCCCGCGATACGTATGACGAAGTGGGTTACCGGTTCGATTCACAGACTTTTTATTCTTTTCTTTTTTTTCTCGGTCCCGTCTTTCGGGTCGCCACTTAATCGAATTACGTTCATTCGTGCAGAGCCTCGAGTTAAATCGATTCAAATTGAATACCAATGTAACGCTGTTTTCGCGCCGCCAAGGTTTTCCAAGATCGCGTGTTATATTCTATACATATATTACGATTCGTTTGTGTGTGCCCAATTTGAGACGGACAAACAAAGGCGATCCGGCGACATTCGTGACTGCGTCACGCGACTCTTTAGCGTATTGCACAAGGAAGAGTCTGGCCGAACTCGTTTTCCCTTTCGTGCCTCGTTTTGTCATATTTACACGCGACGCGTTCGCGCTTTCCGCGATGAGTAACGACTGAATTTCTTCGGGGATTACACTTGCAGGGGGAAAAGATAGGTTGATTAAACGCTACAAGTTAAATTTCTATATACATCGTAATTTTTTGTAAACGATCTACGAAGCCTTTCTTCGAATCAAGTGAAAGATTTAAACTAGAATTCGTTGTATTAAATACTCGACGGAAGTAACTCTATGGGCATACATACAAATATGCGGAGAATCGTAAAATCGCTTCTTCCAACAATCTTGCAACCGAAGGGAAAGAAATTCGTATCTTTCGTAACATGCTATTTACTATGATTGATAGGTAAAGTGATGCAGCGACAGCCTTCTCTAGATCTACTCAATGCGGTTATTTATATGCAGCAACGATACAGGCCGAATATTAGAAGGATCTGTAAATGAAAATGTATTGCTATTCAGCTTATCTAGAATTATATGTACGAGTTAGCTTCTTTAAACACGAAATTGTGCCAAACGATTGCAGGACGCTTGTAAAAGCGTATCGCCGTTTTGACGGCAATCGTTTTTCCCTGTACAATTTGTACTTTTTGCTAACTTTCGCTGCTTTTAAAGTCAAAGGTATTTTGTCAATTAACGGCCCTCTGTTTTACACGCGGTTACCAGCAATCGTTCGACCGACACAAGTAATAATAATGCCGTAGAGAGTTTCTTCCGGGCCATTTGAAGCGAAAAATAGGAAGGAATTAAGGTTGTACGTCTTACGGTTAATAACGTTTGCGTAATAAGTTCATGCAATACGATTATGATCGAATTTTCGAGAAACTTTAATGGTACCGTTCGGTAATTACCTTACAGTAATAACAATATGGTTCCGTTGCACCAGAGTTGCACACAATATGCGAATCATTTTCACGAATCAGTTTATATAATCAAGATAGATTAAATACGTTATACGAAGATGCAGAGATAAATATACAGTTACAGTGCAAAAGGTAGGCCGTGGTCTTTGAAAAAACTTAAAAAAAGAGTTGAGACAGAATTTTACGCAAAGCTTAGATATACGAGTTTTGTTACCATCTTCTTTGTTCGTTCATCGTAATCGGATAAGTCAACCACCTATGGATTGTACCAGGAGGAAGGAAGAGTTAATACTCTTACTAAAATCAAACTTCTAAGAACTTTCTAGGCACTTTCGCAAAACTCTACCGTAAATAAATAGTGTTCCTAACACCGAAAGAAAGCGTTCCCTGCTCCATGTTTACGCGATATCCCTATAATATGTATTAAAGATCATCTAATTCTTGATCAACCTGTACATAAGTATCTTCGAACGCAACAGTGTCGGATAGATTTGCAACACTTGCATGGTTATATTTTATTCGTCTGGAATCTAATTAGCAAGATGAACTTATCCGACGGTATCGTACAGTAAAATCATGCGGTAGGAAAGTGAAGAAGAAAGGGAAAGTTGCCCACTGGCATCCTTATCCCGAGCGAAGCGTTTGTAACCTTTTGAATCATTAGTTCGGAACAAGTTCGGGTTGTTTCAAACGTTAAACGTCCGTCGCCTGTGTAGATGTAATTTTGCGCGCGTGGTGTCCTAAACGATCACGTTCTCTTCACAAAATCTGAATATTCGACATAATATTTTCAGAAGATAGTCTCAAGTCTTTATATTGTCCGAATATACGGAAAATAGACAATTAATTTTTGTATCTCTTCGAAAAGTAAACGTTTCTTTTAAAGCTGTTTCAGGTTTGGCGCGCATAATTTGTATTGTACGTATGCAGTAGTAAGATCGAGCGTTTAGCTACGTGCCAGACTACCTTTCATCTCCATGTGGTGATGACTTTATGCCTGGTAGGGCAAAGAGAAAGGTACGGGGAAGAAAAAGGTAAAAGCGCATTCATCTGCTGCAAGAGTTTGTCGTCCTTGCAATTATCATTTGTACGTAAATCGATTTTATTATCCCGTTAACGACTGCTTTTTTCAATTCCAGGATACTCGTTGGTACGAAAACGCATGCGTATCACGGTTGAACTTGCCCTAACTTCGTCGCCTCGCTCGGTTAGACTCGGTTAGTTTCAGTCGCATTCCTCGTGCTTCGTCGGGCACCACTTCAGCAGGTCCGTGCTCCTCGTGTTTCAAGATAGGTATACTTGATAGAACATTGTATACAGCAGTTTAATGCAGTCAGTTTCGAGTTATCTGTTAAGCAATACCATTGTCGGGTGCAAACCACAAAGTTTTTGTGTCGGTTACAGTTGCATGCTACGATATGACTCGCACAACGCTGGTAACTATGTGATCAACATATAACAAATCACGAGTACGAATGATTTCGCTATACTTTGATCATTGTCGTGCCCACGTAATTTTTTTTACTGTGTTGAAGGTCGTAGGTAGGTCGTGTGGGCGGTTATTGTCGAAGCAATAGCTCTCAGTTTCACACCTTCCACGATTACGACCTCTTCTTCAGCTTCCACGGTTGTTCTGACAACGCTGAAAACGGCGATCGTTACTTCGGCTGCTGTGTCGGTTTTTGCTTAGGCTTAGACTTAGTCTTAGACTTCCGCCTACACGAGGCTCGGTTACTTTCTCCGGCTGCAAGGCCGTTCGCAAGTTCGCGGCTGTAGCGTTCCTCGAGAGATCTTCGGTATTTCTCGACACCACCTTGGCATTGGTCACCGTAGACTTCGACTTTAAGGGCCTCTCGATTTTAATGATTTACATGTAGAAGAACGCGCATTCGTATCGTAAACTATTCTTGATTTTCCATCTTTCTCTGCAGAACTCAAACATATTTGTGTACAGCTTGTGCGAGACTACAAATTATTGTAACTCGTGAAAGCGTAACATGATCTTTGAATTCTTTTTTTCGTGGAATATACTGCCTCGAGTACCGCTCGATTGTTACATACATTCGCTAACAATAAAGAAACACGATCTCCGTCCAAATTTAAATAATTCAGAATGATTCAAATCGTGCGTATAAATGATTGACGTTATCTTACGACTGTATTGCAAATGGTCTTTACTTATTGCTTGTCGTTTCTACTTATTATGTAGAAACATGATACAGATTTGTATCGTGCGCGACTAATTGACTTTCACCGTTTCTTTCTGCGATACATTTAGTTGATAAGAGATTAATTTGACGAAATTCTCTTTCATGTACAGAGTGTTCTGCTCTGGGAAAAATTTTAATTAATTTGGGTAATTTGGGTAATTAGACTAATAATATTAATGATAGATCATACTTCGTGTATGAATGCCATAAGCAACAAATTGATATTTAATAAATATTAATAAACATTAATAATTTTACAGGTATTCGCTTTTCTATGGGTCTGTGAGCCAAGTACGTAGGAACAAGGATTCAATAAAGCCCATAGGTCTCAGTTAGGTTCGTGAAAGCTCAGTTCCACCCACTGTGGCGAGTGCAAAGCTTGTTCGGTCGGGAGCATTAGAAATTGCCAGTCGTTGTCGGCCGCTGACACGTGAACGTGATTTATTGAATTTGTTCGGATCTAAGTCTTACGTCGTGTTTAATCTGCATAGTTCCCAATTATTATTATTCAATGACATTTATGATAATTAAGTAAATTACATATTATGCTATCTTTTTGTTGCGGAATTTCGTTTGCTTGGAATCAACAAATTTATGAACCGCGTTCGCGAGCAACAATGACGGTAGGGACACGCTGACCGTCGGATTTATCGACCGGCTCGAAGGTGGAAAATCACAAGGGTTTCGAGAATGTAGCTAACGGAGTTTCTCCTTTTCTATCGCGCGATTGAGGTCTAAACAAGCGGCGTCATCTCCGTCAGCCATCGGGGAGAAACTCACGATCGGTGAAGAGTCGTCGGTAGAGAAAGCGAGAGGAGGAGCTTTGGCGGAAGCTCTGGCGAAAATAAAGACGTAGTCGCTGGTGAAATCGAACGACGAGGCGAAGATTGGAAAGGAAACCAACGGGTTGAACCTCGTGGCCAAACCAAACACACTCGAGGACATCGGAAAGAAATCCGTAAACAACTGCGTGGTTACTTCTTTTCAGATGGACACTGGAACGTAATTAACTAGTGTAGGGGTTTGTTGAGACTCGAAACGTAACGCGTTCTACCAGCAAATTAATACCGAAAGAATTCACTGAATTGTGCTTTTAAACGTATGTAGTTACAGTTACGTACTGGCGACGTGCTATCGTACTACGAATTTTATATGCGATATCGAAGTTCTGATGTGTTCTATCTTAACACTTTACCGACCGGTAGCGGTTGATTAATCGGCTATCGGTCGGTAAAAAAGTTGATTAATACGCTATCGGTCGGTAAGTGTTGGCCGGTAATAAAGTCGATTAATAGGCTATCGGTCGGTAATGTGTTAAGTATTATGTGCGTCAAGAAGCCGGTGACTTCTTAAATCAATCGTGACTTTAACAACGAAGTTCTTTGTCGCGAAGACCGTGTATCTAGTCGCGCGAGAGGGTGGCAACCCCGCGGCGAAAGGGCATTGGGAAAAACTCTGTATTTGATAACGAAGTAACAAGTAGACTAGTTCGTCTTCTGTTAGTTTCAATTTTACAACACTCCGTTGTTCAGTGCCTGTAAGAAAGCCATTGCGAAACACGCCGATGCCCCGAACCACGTTCCTGTTGCTCGTACAAGCAAAACAAACGTGAATTCGTGCCGGATATGCGGATGATGTAATTTTTTAACAGCCGAGTTATACCGGACGACGTTGCATTCTGGCGTTAATGCGTGTAGCGTTATGATCTAGTTAAATTACATCGTACTTATAAATTTTTCTTACAACTGTACTTAAAAATTTCGCATTAATTTCAACCGACATTTATAGCGTACGGGTTCTCGAATTAATGTAAACGTTTTTATGTGAAAGGTTTATTCGATTCGATGTATTCCAGGCGTGACGAACAACTCATTTTAAGTGGTCAGGAATAAGGTTCCTAAAATCAAATGGATTCGTATCAGAAGACTCCAATAGACTCCGTTAGTTGTATAGTTGTCTGAACTACAAAAAGAAAAGAAATTCATCCGGCAAACATGTATATGTACATATGTAGGCGTATCAATTAGTTACGCTTGAAAACAGGTCCGACAGACCATACAACGAGCCAAGAAAGGCTAAAAAGCATGATCCGTATTACCGAACATAAACATCTTGTCGTCGGTGTTAACTTAGTAACTGGGACAGCCGCGTTATCTAACCGGACGTGTCGGGAGGACCTTCTAAAATTTAATCTCGGAACTCAGAATTTCATGCGGTGCGTCAACGAGGCCTCACAACTGGTTCTCTACACCTCCGGCATCGGCGATCGTGAAAAGGTGAAAGCAGATCGCATGGAATAATACTTGAATAGTAGCGACGATTTTTTCTCTGTCTTTCTTCGAACAGCAGACACAAAGGTGCCGCGTGAAATCACAACCAAGAAAACGATGTTGCAAGAGGCGACAAGCTCGTTAGAATCGCCCTCTGATACGCGTCGTTGAACTCGCGATACAAATAACTTTCAGTAAAAAAAAGGAGTGCTTCGATTACATTACAAAAAAAAAATGGACGACCATCGTTATTTAACAGATCGTAACAAGAAGAAATACTAAACTGACATAAAAAATTACAATATCTTTCTAAATGACGTTACCGATATGATAAATAATTGTTATTTGAAAAAGACCAACATACGATACCCAATTTGGTAAACATTAAAAAGACGTCTATGTCTCCATTATCTGAGGTACAAAAACATGAGAAGAAATTTTCAAAAATTAAATAATTCTGTAGGAGAAAAAGAAATCATGACTACTTGAAAATCATTGTGCCATCTATTCGGATGCGAATATCATTAATATCGCTACCCACTATTAGCAATAATAACTACGTTATTGCTAGCGATTATTCGTGATTAGAATAATTCAGTTGTAAGGGACAATTGAAATTGTTTCCATTGCGTCAATCATCCAGTTAAAATCGTGCCGATCCTCTTCCGGTTCAGTTACTAGGGTGTCGGTTCATTTCGCTGGACTTTCAGCAATTTCCCGAACAATGGCGAATATACCGTTGGAATACCGTGCTCGATCGTCGCAATGGTTCGTACAAATATGCATCTCGGTCATGAAACTACATAAATTATTACATTAACTCTGGTCATTCGTGCGTTATTTTAATTATGCTGTCAGGAACTAATGAAGGATGAATGGAAGGACTAATGTTAAGCGTCCTTAAATCGCTATGAAATAGTAACGGGTTATTGTAATTATAACGGAATAAAAAGGAAGAGTAGTTGTTTGACGTTCCATCTCGGTAATCTATAAAATCATTCGTTATTAGAAACCACCGTATTTATTTTCTCGCAACCGCGAAACGGCTGTGTGTCGAAAGAATATTGTTTTTCAAAATGGATCCGCAGGTGCACAATTAAGGAGTAGGGTTCGTAAATGCAACGTTAGTTTTCTGACCACCAATCAAGTACTTGCAATCACGTAACTTGCCCTTGGCATAATTCAAATTGTATTATTACTTCATTGTTAGGTTCTGAGAAACTTCTCAAGTTACTCATGACAGGTAAATTAATACTATTAGACTCACCATACGCCACTATAACTGTATGTTTATACAATATTATATTAGAAACACGTGCATCTAAGTACAAATAGTAAAATCTGTTATACATAACGAAGATTAAAGAATCAATTTCCTTTGAAAATGAAAAAATAAATACAACCGTTTGACGAATACTCTTTGAAAACATTTTATTTCATTTGAGTAATAAAAAAAAGCAATTTTATAGACTGTTACAAAACAGATGAATGCATTTATTTAATTAAATATATACATGTATTGTTTATTTTATATGTTAAATACATATGTAATTACTATAATTTCACAATAACCCCTAATAAACATTAAATGAATGCAACCATTAATGAGGATTAATTTTCTACATTTTTGTGTACATTGGAAATTACAATAAATCTAAACTATATTAAATTATTATAAGAAGGGAAATTAATATAATTCAATTAGACATTTTTAAAGTACAATGTTATACGTATATAGATATAATACATTATTAGTATGGTATGTACATATATCAATTATTAGTATTTTAACTACATATTGTACATAATTAATTTACATCGTAGTAAAATATACAACCAGTTAACTGATATACATTTTTAATGCTTTAAAAAAAAAAACGAAGAAAAAAATTGGAGAAATTAATATATCCGAATGAATGGTAAACAAAATGAATATTATTTATATATATTAAAACATACCATTGAATTCTGAACTAAAACTTTTCTTTATAATTAAATATAATTATACCAAAGATATTACGGTTTTTAGTTAGATGTCATAATAAGAAATTTTTTAAGTAAAAGAAAATATCTCAAATATCTTTACCTAATATAGACATATGTCTCGCATTAAAGGCATGTTTGAAGTATGTTAATATTTGTATAAAAAATTTTATCATACAATTTTGATTGCAATCTATGATGTTCATTGCAAAATACGTTGGTACAATTTATCACATAATATCCACTTAATTTTATCTCACTGTAAATTGTTAATGCAAAGAGGGTATATTTAAATTGTTTCATACAAAACCTAACATGTACTATATGCAATGGAAATGTCTTAAACATGCGTAGTTTAAATTATATAATTCTAATTCGTGTATTTGTAGAGTGCACATATTCTACAATTTATTTAATCGTTGAAAATTTATGATGAAAAGATTTCCGTTTTGGCATAAAACAAGTGTATAGAAGAAGAGATGATGGCACATATTAAACAAGAGAAATATGAATAATTAACACCTTCCACTAAACTTCCTTCAATATATTAAAAAAAAAATTGTTAATTTATTCAGATTTAATGACTAGTGCATTAATAACTTGTCCATATTTAATATATTAGTTAAGTAAAATGATATAATTTATCTAATAATGTATATATGTACTACAGAAATATTTGAACAGATCTTGTATACAACTACTTTGCAAAAATATTTGTTAAATATTCGTTAAATACGTTATATTTACAATGACACAGTTTAAATCATATTAAGTGATACAATATGATGTTTTTATCTTTCTTTGATAAAATATAATCAAATTAATTATTACTAATATAATTGCTACTATTACGGCCATAAAAAATACTTTACCATTTTACAATCATATTTATCATTTAATATAATTCATGTAGTGCATAAAGTAAGCCTTGTCATTTTCTGATGCGCTTACAAGTAATGGCCATTGGCAAGAATCTAAAGCTTATACTTTTAAAAATTTTTAACGAAGACAAATATTTAACGTCTAAGAGACAATATTATAGCACAAACAATGACAAATTTACTTGTACTATTGTAATGAAAAATATCTTAAAACAAATGTTCTACGCTATTTATTCACAGCCTCTGTTGTCATCCAGGAAGACATATTATACAGTTAGGTTGAACACCCCTACTGTAATAATACATATCCTCTTACTATAATACATCATCTCTTCTGCTACAGCGCATACCGTTAACCCTTAATAACAGAATTACGTTACAAGTATCGCAAATACAAGTTTCATTCGGTAATTGCAAATCGTTCTTGCCAAATGTGAGTTCGATGTTGGTTAGACAATATGGGATTAAGAACACGTTCTATGCAATTTATACGACCTTTAAATCGTTCTCTATCTCTAGCCATTTCCTCCCATGGTCCTCTTCTAGCAGCACGGTATGCATAGTCCCAATGTACCATTGTGTGAACAATTGGCTTTAAATTAAACTTTACCTAGAATAAAAATCTTAATGTTTATGATCTCGGAATTAAACGAAACAATTCGAAGGTGTAAATAACTATTTACTTTTTGAACGGGAAATACAGATTCTTTATCGTTGCATTTATCTTCTTCTTCGCTGGTTTCATCCATATCACTTTCATCGCTGTCCTCAAGATCACTTCTGCAAGTTACTTCAGATTCTGCTTCAAATACGATACAGTAACTATCTTCCGAGTTAATCGAACTTTCTGATATTAGACGTGGTCGAAAGGTCTTTCTCTTTGAATTGTATCTACTCTCAGCACAATCTTCATGAAATGCATTTATCCCTTCCCTGCACTCAGGCATGCGTCTCATTTTTGTGGAAAATTTAGATATGTCTTGATCAACCATCTTGTATATCTTTTGCTTCTGAACTTTAGGTTCCACATCAGCAAATGTATATGATATAGAACTATTTCCATCTACTGTGTCCATCATGTCTTCATCTAATCTAAAACAGTCTTCTAATTCTTTGTTTTCTATTGTATGATACATCTCAAATTCTTGCCAACTTTTTAAATCATTCTCAATGTCTACTTCTAAATCATGCTTAGCGCGCTCCTTTCTGTGTCTAGTTTGACTTACACCAGAGCGTCTCAGCTGCGATCTCGCTCGGCCTCGACCTCTGCCCTTTGTTATAGTGTTAAGTTTCCGCCGTTGTTTCGGCGAAAGTGATCCTTTCATCGATATATCTGATTCAATTAAATCTGTTTTATAGAACCGATCTGTCACACGGTCGCAAACTTTATGCCACATATCCGTCAACATATTTGATACTGTAATCTGTTTGTTCGACTCGACGCTTACTATGCTTGAACTGGATGTCGATGAAAAAGATTCTTCCTCCGTTGTTTTTACGTTCACGTTATCATTAATGCAATGAGAAACTTGCTTGTTTGTAAATGTACTTTCATTGGAAATATTTGCATAATTATGGAAATTATTTCCAACGAGCAGTTTGTTTCTATTTATATATAAACAAGTATCTGCCAGCATTTCGTTCGACTCTTCTGTTGATAATAAGTAATTACAATCGATTGAATTACTTTTACTATTTTCTGTAATAACAGATACATTTTTATCAGATCTTTTAACATCGTTGTTTTTCTTCTCATTGCATTTGTAATTGTAATTTAATTTTTCCTTTATATTTTCATTAGAAATTCTGCTTTCATAAGGTTTCTTTTCATCAAATATATCGTGATGAATACTTTCAATAACATTTAAAGATTCCTTTATTTGTGTGCCTTGAATGTATACATTATCAGTGTTCAAAATCTCCCTTTTAGTTGTCAAATTTTTAAAAAATTCGTGCGAAATTATACCTTCATTATGAACAACTGTTACTGATAATGGATGATTGACGCTTGCCATAAAGGAACCAGACACTTTGGAAAATCGTTCCCATATCGTGTTGAAAGCATTGAACACGCTATGGAGCATGTTCTCTTTCTTTGGGCTTGATATATTATTCTCCATGTTTAATGTATTGTTGTTCATTGAAAAGATTTTTTCCATTGTTAATTTCAAAGGCAGATGCTGCATAGAAGAGACATCAAGTATGGAAGCAGGGGGTATTGTTGAACTTGAAATATTAAACTCAGACAAAGAATCCAAATTTTGAGGAGTTGCATATTTTGAAATTACATGCATACCTTATTCAACACATTGATATTCCTTTAGCACTTCCCTTAGTTCTCGTAAATCTTCTACGTTGCGCTATAAAAAAAATATGGTATATTAAGAACATTATTCGGTAATATTTTTCTAACAAGGGAAGGACCTCAATTGTCCAACTTGGATTTCATTAAGTTCTTGTAGGTTGATAATTTCCAGATTTTTAACGATATTTTACAAAAGCTCAATGAAATTAAAAAGTGGATAGCTGTGATTCTTTCCTTGTATTTTAAGTATTAATTTAAAAATTACATCTAATTATTAATATATAAATAAAAAAGAATTTGTATTTAAAAATTTATCAAATTACTTGGCCAACATCTACCAATGAATGGAGGAATTATTTATATATTTTTAATAATATATATTCTATACATGTTACTTAGCGGTAATAAAATTCATAAAACTGTGTGACAAGTTACGTTCCATTAATTCTTTTATTCTTGGAAACACTCGCAAATCGATATAACGTTCAAATTACGACGTGATCTTGCCATGAATTTATCGAGTACATTGGTTGATATAAAAAAAATCGCAATGACAATCAAAGTCAAAAAGATGTTCGGCATTGGTACAGTTAGACATGATGATTTAATATCAAACATTATAATGCAATAATCCTATGCAACAATATTTTTTCTACGCATACATACAACAATTATAGCCTCCACAACCGTGACAACCGCAATCACGTAGACAATCTTGCTTGCAATACGAAGGCTGATTCTTTACTGTAACGCACTTGTTATCCTTGAACAAAGAATTTTTAATAAATCTTGTTGCTTCGGGTACGATACTTCGCTTTGATTTTTCAATAATTTCAAAGGATTCCATTGTAAAACGACACATTATTACAGCACACATTTCGAGAACAATTTTCAAGCAGCCATTTTCAACTAATTTATACATTCATGATTCATGCACATAGGAGGCGCCGCTGTTGATGATTTGTGCGTAAGTTATCATTAAATGATATTGATAGATCGTATCATTTGAAAATAACGTACAAATTTTCTGTCTCGCACCCGGGAAATATTAAATGCAAAATTAATGCAAGATTTTTAGTACTTGATTTTTAACTATATAGAAACTGATGAAATCTTTTATTTTTCTGCAGAAATTCGTACATATTGCGTGTCTAATACGGATTGAAAAGTAAACGTATTTATTATATGTACAGATAATTTCGATAAACATTTAAAGAATGTTAGGATTCAGAAGAACGACACCATTTATAGTGAAAATAATTATTAAATGCTCATTTGTACTAGTTTTTATTGGAAACGCTTCGTTCGTTTATTTCGAATAATGTTAGAATGTGTTTCGTAATAGTAATAAATTTATAATCGTAATTGTAGTTTATTATATTCACATTATTGAGATAAAAAATAATACAATATATATAATTTACTACCCCGAAGCAAGAAATGTTTACAAGTACTGCAAACCAATACCAAATTGGAATTTTTGCAATACGTCGCTTCTGATAAATAACAAAGGCATAACTAGATTTAACTCGAGTCTTGCAACATTTCCCAGCTTCATTGCAATGCCACCGCCAACGGAACATCGAACGTTTTCTGTGAAAATTTTCATGTTTTCTTTATAATCGTTGGCTGAAAATAATCAAATTTTAATTTATTAAAATTAATTAATCAACGATATTAGAAAATATTTATAATTCTGAGAAATCTCGTACCGAATTTAAATGTGAAATTTGATACGTTTCCACCATTCACAAAACCATGTAACCTGAACAGATCCCCAAAACCGCGCCGGCCGGGTCTAAACGGCAGTGGTGTATATAAATGCAATGCAAGTGCCCAATATGCATCGCCGCCTATCGAATTACCATCGTGTCGGGGCCCACAACCTCTCATATCAAAACCTCTAAGATTCATTGGTCCACCCAAAAAGAATTGATCAACTATGTTTATTTTCATATTGTCGTTAATTCCTCGAAGCAGCCCAGATTGCAGACCCAATTGAAACGACTAATTAAATTTTTTTAATGATAATAATAAATTGTGCAAAGCGTAAGTAATTAAAGGGTCTAATATCTACTGTTTAAATTGAAAGATACTTGCAAGACATTCGTGCGGCGTCCAATTAGATTGCATTATGAGTTCATTTTTAACAAATCCAATGTCTCCACCAAGCCCAGCTATTTCTGTTGAAAACTGTATGAGACTTCCCGCAGTAGGAAATATTAAGGAATCCCTTTTATCAATAGAACAAATGTGTCGTAATGCGGATTTTAAACTTGGGCCAGACTGTTCGCGAACGCGAAACGATGCTTGTTTGGAGCAGATCATTTTTCTATATGTAGCTTCATATTGTAAATTGTGCTTCAATATACCTGCTCCGTCTGGATTAAGAGCGATATCTAATAGAAGGCCTTTATCGCATTGATGATAACCAGACCATGGAAAATCACTAGTTGTGTTGTACACACTACCAGTTAACCTGAACAAAATAACAAACTGTAAATAATAGAAATATTATACGTCAAAATAGAGACAATTTTACATACACTGTACGAAACCAACTATCCACTAAGGGCTTGACAGCAGATACATTTATATTAGTTGAACTTTTTGTACCCTGAGAATACTCCATTTGAAGACGTTCCCCTCTTCCAAATAAATTTGGCGCCTTTGCTCCAATAATAACAGAACCCTCATTATTTCCAACCATAGTATTAATTCCACCCATCAACCGCCGCATTTCACGTACAGTAAAAGTGATCTAGGATAGAATATAATGTAGAGTTTCTCGTAAGAATATCTGTTAACTTTTAAACAAATAATTTGTCAATGAACTGAGAAATTATATATTTTTTGTTGAATCAGTATGAAATTATATAGACCCACTTCGACGCCTTCCGAGCTGGCATGAGGACCTTGACTGGTATCAATGTAAACTCCAATACTCCTAAAACATCCTAAAGCTTCAAGTTTCCCTTTGACTTTATAGGCACGTATAATAACATCTTGCATATCCTTAGCTTTGAAAAGGTCTGTTACTTGAGCCTTTATTATGTCATCCTTTGTTCTCATAAGCCCATCTACATGTATTCTATCAACTCTTGCCTATTCGATACAAGAATTTATCACAAGTCTATTTTATGAAACATTCAAATTTGAAATGTTGATGCATATACTATAAATATAGATAGTGCTTTAAATAATATACTTAAATTTCAACGTGCCTTTACTGTTTGCAAATCGATAGATTTTTCTTTAGTATCTTCTTTCTCTAATAAGTCCCTTTCCGAATTAAAATACGCTGACTAAAAATAAAAATTATTAGACGAATCGGTACTTCCTAAATAATAGTATATCTAAAGAAATAAATGCACAGAATTACTTCATTAAATTATATTTTAAATAAAGACACCTAAATTTTTACTTACAGAACCGTCTGTCATTTTAGAATTGTATCTCCCCCTTGGAATAGCATTATTCGTGTCTTGATTCGAGTTTCCAGACATATTTGCTTCCTAAAACGATAAAAAACATAAAAAAATTGTTGAAAAATATTTCAACGAAAAATATTAATTCAAAGCATGTTTAAAAAATGTATTGGGCATAAAATGAACATACTATAAAATCAATAGAAATGTATAAACTTAATAGTAAGCAAAAACTAACAGTGCCACAAATTATTATTAGAAATTACTCATGGTGTAAATTAATAGTCTTAATTTCAGGTTATACGGTGCTTTTCTAATAATAAGGGCTTACCTTTGCACGAAAAGTTCCCATATTAAAATGGAATTAATTTTATTTCTCTCAATGGGAAGATACGTTAAAATATTGTACCAAATTTTGTCAGGGCCCCGTTAATATTTAACAACAAAAAAAAGTGGTAAATTTTTCAAATTTATTATTCGGAACAGTAAGTAGAGAAAAAGCAGTGTGACATGCTATCACCGGTAGTGCGATATATCGCCCTCTAGAATACTGTTTTCACTAATGTGGCAATCAGGATTGAGCAAATTTATTCACAAATAATGAATAAAAATGTTAAAATTTATTCGTAAATTAACTTCAATTTAATTTTCACTTATTAATTCATTTGTAAATTAGGATCAGGGATTGAAGGGGTTCTGTTATATGAAGGTCCTGAAACTTTTATAAGATACGTAATTACGGTATAATAATTACGAATGGAAGAGGCTCTAAATCCTAATCGCATTTTATCAATCTATATTTCAGTTTTTCAATCGTAATTATAACGTTGTAAGAAATGCTAATTAGCGATACGTTGACAAAAGAGACATGATCTTTAACGAGGATATTCGCAAATTACTATTACGTTTCGAAGAAACGATAAGACGGCATTAGCAAAAAAAAAAAAGAAACAAAAATCCTTTAGATGTCAACAATAAATTACTTTGGATAATAGTAAACGTATATATTTTAAAGACAAATTTATATTTTTTTATAATGAATATATTTTTAATGAAAGTACATGTTTTATCTTGCTGTATACATTTAATGCATAAATACATTTGTTATGTAAAGTATAACATTTACATATATGTATGTATGTGAAATTAATCGTATAATATCAATTGCATACAAATAACATTATCAATATTTATCAGACATGGCAGCTGAACATGTTAAAATATATTTCTTAATTGTAAATACATAAGAGTTATAGATTTTGTAAAAATTGTAGTGCAAATTTATGTAATTAATTCATTGATAGTAGAGGTAGATTTCACTATACTATTAATAAAAATATATGCCACGGAGACATAAATGAAAAACAAGCCAAACTAGATTTTGTATCAATAAAAGATCACTATCATATCTAAATTGAATATCAGTAAATTCATCCTTAAAAGTTAGTCCCATATAGTAACATGATTTACAGGAACTTTAAAAAGAGGAAGACTTATAAATTGATCTATAAAATTAAATTCAGAATTAATATCATATAAATACACTTTACTTCACGATGTAGAACAAATAGAATAATTTACCGCGTATACAATAACATTCGTTGCTAATGATCACCTAAGTGCATTTTATGCTATGATAAATTTTATATAAAAAAAGTCTTAGGCTTTTCTTAGCGTTTCATTGTAAACTTAACTTTATAATTTATGAAAATCACAATAGTGAACTACACACATGTGTGTATAACATTTTTGCATATACATAAGTATACTTTCCGGATGGCTGTATAATTTGACATGACGAACAATAAGAATGTGATATACATAATGCATAACATTCTTGCAAATATAAATTAAATTACTATAATTCCTCTTTCTTTTTATGTATAATGAGAAACAGTATTTTAACATTATATACTTTCCTGATATAAGAGTAGTTAAAGCTTTCTGTAATGAAATTATTCCTCCTTTTTGGACTGCTAATTTACTTTAATTAGCATTATCGATTGTGACTGTTATTACCAGTGTATATTATCGAGACTAGTATCACAATTGTAGTTCTCAGATCTACGTTTATTATAATGCGGCAGGTCCAACTCGTGACCGCGTATTAGCAGGAGACACAGGGCTTCCATGAATTTCTAAATCGAATTCAGAATTCGATAAACTATTTCTCATCACTCTGTTCCACCGATTTGTATTTTCGTTCAGATCAGTTGATCTTCCACAAGCTCGAGATGCTTCTTGTTGAATAATTATTTCATTGGTTATATAAGCCTCTCGTCGAATCTTATCCCGTAATTGTGGATTCATGTCAGGAATACACCATCGTACAAGTATCATAACGAGAGCCACGATATTCTAAAAAACATAAATTTCGTTAATGCGATGACTTAATTCACGTACACGCATTATTAATATGAACGTACCTCGAATACAACAATAAAAGCTAATCTGGCAGCTAGTACATGCCAAAACATAATGGTATAATCATATTTATTTGTCGAATTTGGTGGTTCCCTGTAATCTGGATATCTACATATTTTTACTTGTTCATGATCAGGAATATAAAATGGTTCAGTACCATTTTTTAAATCACGCGTGTCAAATTTCGAGAGAGAATGTTCTAAAAATCCTTCTAGAGAATAATTTTCAGAAACAGTTAATCGATAAACTAATCTTGGTATGAAATTCGATGTAAAAGCTATGATGAATGCCTAAAAAAGTATCGATTATAAATACAAACTGTGTTCTTGAATCTTGTGGTTACATGTAAAGAATGTTTCTCTTTTTATAAATATTTGAACTTACATTAGTTATAGCAGACAATTTGGAAATGGAATCGAGAATGCGATACCATATACCTATATCTATAACACGTTGTCCTACTGGCCTTCTGTACATTCTTAATAATTTTTTTGCATCCAGTCGCGTTTCAAAAATATTATTCAGCAATGCGAAAAATGGTGCTAACGGAAATGCTGCGACGAAAATAGTAACAAATCCATATTGTAGCACTAAAATAAATTAATGATATGGAAATTAAATTAAATTTAAATACATATAACGAGTTTATAATAATTTACTATCATTCACCCATTTCTAAATACTCTGGAAATAAACTCCTCGGGCCCCACTCTACTAATTTATAGTCTTTGATCCATTGAAGGTACTTTTTGGATGCATTTTTTCTTCGTCCATCTTTCGTTTTCATTCCAACATGTACTTTTAAAGTATTTAACCATTTGAAAAATAACGGATAGAGCATTTCTAGTATTGTATTCATGGCTTGTTTGCCAATCATAATAATGCTTAATTGTATACATAATTCCATAAGACAGCCACCAGGACCGCACTCTTCTTGTCGATACTCAAAAAAACGTTTATATTTTCCCGGGTACCCAATGAATTTTCCTTTAAAAAATGCTATATAAAATATGGAAGCATAATAATTTACAAATTCAAGTAGGTATATTTTCAATGTTAAACTATCATCAAATTCAGTTTGAGTTCGGAGGAGTTCGATCTATAAAAATGAAAATAAATATTACAAAGGAAATAATAAAAAAAAAGTTCATAGTTGCAAAATTAATTTTTACGTAATGCTACCTCTGTTAAATATTCGGCCAACCAAACGTAAATCCAATTGAACACAATGATGCAACACAAATTAATACTAGCTGCAGTGGCTGTAGTAAAGAGTATTGCATAACTTGTTACCACTGGATGACCGTAAACACTTAAGGCAGTTAACACAGACATTCTATACAGAACAACTCCTAGCACAGCAGCCATTGCTATTGCAATCTACAATGTGAAATATTGGTAGCGACTTTATAGTAGCGAATTATCGAAATGAATCGTTTATTCGAAATGAACGTACCAATAATAAAACGATGGAAAAACTAAGAATCGTGGCAGGCACTCTCATTTTCCAAAATGGAACAGTTGGTTCTTCTGTATTCGTAATAATATTAAGGGACTTCTTTTTTATATGCGCTAGACGTGCTAAATATTGAGGTCGAGGATGTTCCTCTTGTGCATCTAAACCAGTCAAGTCCCATCTATGAGTTATTTCCGCCGAATACCTCTTCCACAATTCTAAGAATAACGTAGCTAATAAAAAGCAAATATAAAATTAGAATAACTGTAAAACTTTAAAAGCTAGTACTTACAACATAGTTATTAAAATAATATCGCGTACCCCATAATGACATAAATATAGAAAAGAATACAGTAGATGGGTTGTCAAATAGATATGTAATTCTTGAGTGCAGGCACGTTTCTTTCAGATTCCAGTATCCGCAAATATGATCACACAACGGACACATTGCAATGGTACCATTGTGATTACAAATGTCTTCACTTGGTTCGTTAGAATATAACGTTACGCAGCTATATATGAAGCAAAGAAGACCAACAATAGAAGCAGGTACCAGCATATGTGTATAAAATCCGAGCCAAGCAAAATAAAGTCCGATTTTCACTCCGAAGTACTCTTTGATATAATCCAAGGGCTGATAATGAAGACATTTCCGTACACTTGCCCACTCCGTGTACAAAAGACATCTCATAGAATCTGGTGATTGTAGGTCGCCCTAAAAATAAAAATATTATATTACAGACAAATTTGATAGCTCAACGTTTAATTATTCAATTTTTACAGTATGTTTCTATAAAATTTTAAAGGAATCGTTGAACGGTGATAAAGTATTGAAATACCGTTTACTTAGGGGCTTATTTCGACTAATGAGAATCCCAACCATTTTTCTGAGACATTAGTATTACCGTGTATTAACGAAGGGACCCCTAATCGCGCAGGTATAAGGGGCAAAACAGGTATTATAAAACTACAGGTATAATACGTGTCCTGCCTTCGAGGGCGCGAGCTTATTGCTAGACCCAAATCGCTTCAAACATTGTTCGAATACAGGAAATTACTTTTATGGTACCCTTCTTCTTGGTACATAGTAAAATGCGGCACATTATGATAATTAAAAGAAATATTATAAAGAGTGAAGCATTTAAGAAACACCATCTTGTTTACTATTCAACTGATAGTATAATTCTAAAAAGTTTTATATTTCCTACTTTCTTTCGTACTCGTAGAATGGGACGGTTCAGGTAAAGATTAAATACCCAACTGTAGTTTTATTGCTCTCGATGGTTATACTACGAATACATGCCCCTCCAGTTAAATGTACTCTATCTGAACAGGTACACGAAAGCGGATTAGGACAAGACATGAAAATCCTATAAGCCATTTTACAATACAAAGTCAAACAGAATAGCTACATTCTAAAAGAAGAGGCTTTGCCGATTTATTACGAATCCTCCCATAAAAATCGGTCATTGGTTAATCGGTTGTTTAGAGGGTGTGAGCAAAAAGTATACACTGGGCAAATAAAAACCAATGTTTTATTATTATTACGGTACGTCAGGGATTCCGTAACGAATAGCGGTAACGTTCCACGAAGAATGTACGCGTATGCATAACTTAAGCAAAAGTATAACTTAATCAATAATAATCTATTCTATTCAAGATACAAACAATATCGAAACTTACATCGTGTAAAGGATACACAGCTACGTATGCTCTGTCCGATATCAGCCTTTCTATTCCAAATGCAAAATCGTCATGTTTGGTTTCAGTGAACTTGGTCCTATCTAAGATAAATTGCACAATTCTGGCACGCGTTGCGGCAGTAAAGAAGTTAGGGGAATCTAAATCAAATAAATACTCTTTGTCACGGCTATAAACTGCCGTGAAATTATGCTTCAATGTCGGAAAAATCGTTTTATCGATGTAATATTTTTGCATAATTCTATTGAAAAAAGAATTAACTTCGTCGATTAATGTATTGCCACGAATATCGGGAATTATTAAACCAGGTAATTCCTTCATTGGTAATCTAAGCTTTAGTATTTCGGAATACCGTCTTAACACTTCTTGTGGTGCATGTAGTTTAATGAAATGTAGACCATTTGGTTCCACTGGTTCATATTCCAGTTGTAAACCTTCTTTCTCCAGATTCTTTTCGAACACCTGTGAATTATGAGTGTACATCAAACTATAGAAAATCATTTGTTTATATGTTCACTTACGCGTCTGTATTCGATGCTGCGATACGTTTGAGCTTCTGTATCAAATTCATCCCAAACAAGAATAAAATCAATTGTACGAATTTCATCACGAAAGTATAAACTAAATGCTCTCTCGGAGTTTGAAACCTGTGAAAAAAGCAATAATTTATAATTTATACATTCTTATTTGTATATATTGTTGAATATCATTAAACTCACTGTTTTTGAACCTCTTCTACTATTTCTTAAATCTGTACAACTACCATCGATAACTGTGACATTGGCATCATTGTTAACAGTTGACACATCATCATTATCCGGCTGCTGAAGATCTTCCATGGAAACAGCACTTTGCATACTGTTTAAGGTGCTCATACTTTCAACATCGTTATACAAGGTATTACGAACACTTTGGTATAATGTTTGCGCAGATCCAGTGTTTAAATTACTTTGTATCGATCGATAAAGACTAGTTTCAGATGTATTATTTTTATTCTTCTGTATCCATGGTATACAAACTTCTTCATCATCCTCTTCCATTTTTAATTGAATTGATCAGTATTCAAATTCTACTTATTTGAATCAAACTGCATTTACACATGCAAGCCAGACAAAGGAATTTGTAAAAAAAAAATACTAAACATATTTTGGGCGAATACACTACAACTAATTCTATGCTACAACTTTATAACTAAACACGTACTATAATAATTTAACAACTGTAGTTGTGCTATTAGTAGGAAACAGAGACACTGATAAAATAATAATAAAAAAAAATTTTATCCAAACAAACGTACAAGTGCAATTTATATGTAAAATAAAATATGATTAGCAAAAATACTACTACGATCTCAATTTTAAACGTAACCAAGCATAATTTTTTTAAAGTTATTTTGAAAAAGCAATAATTCAAATGTACAATATACTTACAGAATTTTCGTTATATTTCCATTGATAATCTTTGGTTCCGGATGCTGGTAAGATACGGAATAAAAAATTGTACATCTGTATCGATATTATAATTCTATTATACGTGTACTTTAAAATGTTATTTTAGCATTATGTTTATTATCATTAAATTTATTATATATTTACGTGTATATGTACACGTTAACCGTGTTTAGATCCATGCTACAGAGATGAAAAAGAAACTAATGCCATGGATACGTCATGCCTGCATGACTAAATGCTATTGTACATACATACATATATAGTTACAATTGCGTTAAATGATTACGCGATCAACATAAACTTCTACTGCATACAAGACTTATTTATTTATCAGTTCTATGAAATATAAATTACGATGCCACTTAAATAGTCATAAGATCTTTTAGATATTGAAAATATAACGTTAACAATTTTTTAAGATACAAGATTATGGTTATGGGATATGTCGGATTCGAACTTCATATTATTGTAAATCTTGGTTATTTATAGAAATGTAATAAATTTGGATAAATGATTAAATATTTTATTTAATTTCGAATTATAAACACAAATATTTTATTTTTTGCAAAACATTAGCAGTACATAATTATTTTTTGGTCTTAATATACAAATTAAATAATACAAAGACATCTTCGTTACAACAAATTGTGAAATTTAATACTATTTTTGCTACTTTCTAAGAATAAAATACATGGATTCTTTATAAAAATTATATCTTACAAATGTTTCAATGATTCGAGAATTTATCTAACTCTAAAATATTTTACAATATTTATAGATATATAAGTCTTCAATCGCAATTTTTGTATTTATTTTCATATTTTGTTTAAGGATTAAATCATACATTTTTTCTTATGTACAACTATTATACAAGATCATACTTCTTGCATAACTAAAGAATTTAGTTCATCTTCTCCCGGGCATAGTACAGAATCAATATTATAGAATGTTGCATGCAGAGTTATTAAAAACCAAGATACTCCTAAAACATAGTTTGAACATGTAAATTTGTTTTACGTCAACAGAAAATTTGTATTAAAATTGCATTTCTCTTACCAAGAACCCAGAAGAGTGCTGCACCAGCACCTACTAAATAAAATATTGGCAACGAACAAACACCAACCAAGGTATATACTTGAGCTAATGTTAATTTATGATTCAATATCATAAGTTCCTGTTTAGCATGGCGTTGTGAAACTTTGTAACATGTTCCAAGAGATGCTGTAACAGCAATCAGCAAAAGCGGTGACGTAATCCTAACATTTGATCAATATTATTTTTGAGATGAAAATATTGTACATTCGATCGAGATGAATAAAAACAATTCTTACAAACAATATATAACTAGTCCAATGAATACAAATAAATAATTGCTCTGAAAATATTCGATATTCCTGACAATTCTTTTACTCAATCTTGGGAAACTGGGTGATGGTTTAAAGTTGCTTGTATTAAGAAACAAGGACCATGGTCTGACATTAGCTTTTCGATGTTCGATCCATTCATGAGCTTGTGGGTACCCTATATGACTAAGTGGAAGTTGTGGTATCTGTAGAAATTCAAGCCTAAATGACAAAATGCATTGGTTGTATAAAGTGTCAACAGCATTGCTACATTATTATCTAACTTATAAACAATATAAAATCTTTGGATCTATGGTTTGCAAATATGAATAACGTAATGTTATTAAGTATCACTGAAATGACAATAATATGTAATCTTGGTAACATATTTCAATGTTAAAATGTTCTCATATGGAAACTATGGGCATGTCAGAAATAAATTTTCGTTTTATTTTCCCTGTTTCTTTGAATTGCTAATTTCTATGGAAATTTGTTCAATCAGCTTATTTTGAAAATAAAAAATTTCGACTCCAGATAGGTCAACAGAGTGTGACAGATCATTGGGACAGTAACACGATCAACGTTTCATATCTATTGGTTAGACTATGAACATTTAAAATCTTGTCTTCATTATTACCCGCTGCCAGATTTTTGCTTTTGTTGGGGTATTTGCATGTCACCCGCAATCTCGATCTCCACGTCTGCCATCCTCTTTATTTTTGTCGTTCGAACCTCTAGAAGTGATCAATGTGTGACAAAGAAGCTAAATACTATGTTGTTTTATTTTTTTTATACGTGAAGTCCAGCACCCCCCACCGCGTGGCGTTTGCAGCCTTGTTTTACAAAAAACGTGTAGTTGAGGTATCGCATAAATGTAGTTTCAAGATCACGTGATAACGACGTTTGGACATGAGCGTGATTTGAAAAGTAGACAACGCTTGACTAACTAGAAATGTATATATTATCTAAACACGTAGCGCAGGTGACACAATAGGGATTTTTTGGCTGAATCGGAAACGAAATGACCAGTTTTTTGTTTAAACGCATTATGTTCTTTAAAGTATTTCCCGTTTTTCAATAAACAGTGAAATTTTGTCTGTTGATGATCTTAGAAGAAATAAATTTTGTTCAAGGGTTGTTTGCCCTTTTAGTTTTATGCGTGTTTTCCCTGCACGTGTATAGCCGGTTGCCAAAACGCAATATTGAAGTATGCATCCGCCTCCAGGAATCAGGAAGAAGGGGGGAGACAAGAAGTGGGCACCAAAATTTCCATCATATCGCACATCGAACTACTATGTTACCCCCACCATCGTGTATGCCGACACCAACACATATGGCGTTCGCCATACAAACGCTACAGGTTGCAGCTGCTCGATAAAAATTCTTTCACTGCCTTCTTCGTAAAACTTCTTTCACGAAAAGGGCTCTTTGTCCGGATAAGGTAAAGACGCAAAAGATTTTTCTTGCCTCGCACGAGAGCTTGGACGCTTTCGTTCAAGAGGCATAAAGAAGACGATTTTGCCGTACTTCTTTTGGTGCGTTACAATATATTTATTGCATGCTATTTTTCTTTTGTCGTCATATGCTTCCTTCGAATCAAACGTTTCATATTGTCGTTCATCGAGAAATCAGAATAAATGTTGTTTTGCCTGGATTTCTTGAATCATACAGTTTACAAAAAGAGAAGTAATGTACCGCGTGAAGGCTTCATACGTGTCTTTCGTAATTTATCAATCGATGTAAACGAATTAATTTAAATTAATTTTAAACTTAGTTTTAGAACACATTTGAATATATCCCCCATAAAAGCTTATCGTTTCCTAACATTTTTATTCGATTCAGCTTTATGCGATACATATATTCAAACTAATTAAATTGTATGTTATAAACAATCAACTAATAGTAACGTTATAGTACATAATTTTATATGTTACAGGAGCATGACATTTTTAAATGGTGAATGAGGTCATCGGTGTAGAGATAAAATTAATTTTCATCGATTATTCGCCAGGCGATCATTATCGCTTATTCTGAAGTATCCTTCGATTTTGGTCGAGATTTTCAAAGAATAAGTGCGATATAAAGTTTTTAGAATATTACTACGCAATGGTCTCACCCTCGAAAAGTAAGTGCAGATGACGCTACTATGTACCACCATTGTGAGTAATCACATCCAATAGGAGAGCACGTTACATCGTATTCAATAAACTCTCACTTTTAAGGAAGCCTCTGATTGGCCAATAGCAATTTCCCAAGTAACATCGGGCCACCCGCCATAACGAACGTAGCGTGGTACGAGCGATTGTTTGAATGAACGTGTTCAAACGTAATCGACAGGATTTTATAATTAGTACCGATTTCGGTTTAGTATACGAAGTGTACACGGGACGGTTGCATACACGGGAACTTATGGTGACAGTTTGAAGCTATGGAAGTCGCGCAGAAGTTGCATTTCAACGCATGCGACATTCAGGACGAGGAACTGAATATCAGCTGTCGTACAAACAGCTCCGGTTGCGATGTTGACGATATTTTAGACTCATCGGCGGAGGATCTTGGATGTTCACCATCCCTTCAACCAAGAAAGTTATCGTTTAGTAATACGATGGACTGTAGTGACAGTGAAAGTAACCAAACTGTGCCAGTTAATAATAACAAAACTCCGATCAGTAACGTGACAGGTTAGTGTAATTTTAAATTTTATGCTCTTCATAGTTTGTTTTTACACAATATTTTGATCGTTTCGTATCTTTAAAGATATTGTGTACTATCTTATGCTTTCTGTTCTTATTTAATTTTCAATTAGAAGTGATAAATTCGTTTAAAAAGTTTCTTAACTCTGTGAACATTTTGTACTGCATGATATCGTTTCTTCGAGTGTTTCAAATATTTTCTATAATTTATTTTATCTTTCGATAAAGCGTTTTGAGTTATCTGTATATGGTTTTTTTCATTCGTTGATGTTATTATATACATTTTGTTTAAGCGATTTCATTTTATAGCCTAAACATTCATTAGTGTAGAAATCTGTTTTACAGTAGGTTGGTAGTTATATCAATGCTTGATTATATGATTTTTGTGCATGATGTAGGAAAATTGATATTGTTATTGGACAATTGTTTTGCATCATGTGTATTGTGTATGTGTAAAAAGATGTTTGAGAAGTAGTCAGTAAAAGTAATTGACCTGTGTACTGATATCATTGTAGTGGTTTTAATTATTTCTTTCTGTATTATAATAGAAAATTAAATGCATGTTAATATACATTATTCTATATATCTAATCGTCATATTATATTTCACATAAAAAAATTCTATATTTCATTTGTACCCGAACAGAGGAACACGTTAATTTAATTTATAAAATTAAATATATTTTATTTAGTTTGATTTTCTTTACTCTGATACATGGTTTTGATAATTTTTGTTGCAGGTACGTCAAGGATAAGAATTCCTCCCCGTGAGAATGTATGTACACAAAAGGTGTCAATGGCATGCAGTCCACCTTATAAACGTGTTAGGGCTTTGCGTCTTTTTGATTCACCTGCTACTCCCAAAACTTTAATGGAGAAGAGTGCATTGCATACTCCATTTCCTTCCAAATGTACTAGATTATTTTCATTAGACAAACCAAGACCCTGCAATTATCAAAATAAATCTGATAAACCTGCAGCAAATGTAAATCCTTTTACACCTAATGGAATGTTGTTAACTGCAAGAAAACGTACTAGATCCAAACGTAGTCTCAATGGGTGAGTATAAATATATTAATAAAGAGAATAAATAGCGTAGCTTCAAGTAAAGTAATAATGTCAATGATGTCTTTAGTTTTTGTAAAATTAAAAATTGTATACTTTTTGTTTTTAAAATTTATCTAATACAACGTTTTTTCTTTCGACATCAGCTCTCCCGATATTCAGATTCCGAAGTTCGATCTTGCCGATTCTGATGATTCAGATAACGAAATAGAACAAGCTACGAAACGAGTGGCATTGCAAGATTCTAACATTCCTAGATACCATCAAGAATTCCACGAACTTGGATTGATTGGTACAGGTGAATTTGGTTCAGTATACAAATGTATCAATCGATTAGATGGATGCATTTATGCTATAAAAAAAAGTATTAAGCCTGTTGCTGGGAGTATCAATGAAAAGAATGCTTTAAACGAAGTATATGCACATGCTGTACTTGGTAAACATCAACATGTTGTACGGTACTATTCAGCATGGGCAGAAGATAATCACATGATTATTCAAAATGAATATTGTAATGGTGGTAGCCTAGCAGATGCTATTACCAATTTACAAAAGGAAAATAAACATTTTACCGAGGGAGAAATGCGACAACTGTTGCTACATGTTGCTGAAGGTTTAAGATATATTCATAGCATGCAGTTAGTACATATGGACATCAAACCTGGAAACATTTTTATTTCAAAAGAAAAAAGGCTACTAGCAGTTAATTACGATTCAGCAGACGATGGATTTGATGAAGAAGAAACTGTTGAAGAAGAAATTACATATAAAATAGGCGATTTAGGTCATGTTACATCTGTTAATAATCCTCAAGTTGAAGAAGGAGATTGTAGATATCTACCAACAGAAATTTTACGCGAAGACTTCAGCCACTTACCAAAAGCTGATATTTTTGCTTTGGGATTAACTGTTTACGAATCAGGCGGCGGAGGTCCATTGCCGAAAAATGGGCCGGAATGGCATGATATTAGGAATGGAAATCTAAAAGAATTGCCACATTACAGCCGCGATCTTAATGAATTACTCAAAGTAAATATTCTTGAAATATTTTTTCTCTCGTAAAACGGATTTTTGATTAAGTAAGAATTTATAAAAAGGACTGTTATTATTTATTTTTATAAATGTGTTTGTTTTTGTTACAGTTGATGATTCATCCAAATCCTGAAATGAGACCTTCAGCAGTATGCCTTATTCAGCATAGAGTACTATGTCCATTTGGAAATAAAACGAAAGCTCAACTTCGACGAGAACTGAATGCAGAAAAACTAAAAAACGAAATTTTGTCAAAGCAATTGCAAGAAGCAGCCAAATGTTTAAAAACCATTGCTCCAAATGTAGCTGCTATTAATAACACTATGAATGCCGGAGGTTATAAATTGAGACCAACGCCGACTAGAACTTCATCTCGGGTAGTGGGTAAAAAAGTAAATCGAAGTAATAGCACTACAAATTTCTGAATGTTCTGTGTTATATTTGTGTCGGACTAAACGATGAAAGGGAGAGGGTAAAGGTGCTTAAGGAATAAATGATTCTTTTAAGTGCCTTGACATTGTGATATGAATTAACTGTAATTTATAAGTGAAAATATGATCAATATTTGATGATATGGAGATACAAAAAAAAAATATGCAGAGTGAAATTGCATGATAGTCATGGGTATAATCTTTCTTGCCACGATGAAGATATTACATTAATAAAACGAGTATGAATTACAAAAAAATTATAAACAGGTAATTTCTTAATTATTTACGTCTTACATTTCATTGCAACTTTAATATAAAGATGGGTAATACAGTAGTTTATTACTGTTAATCTGTGTATATTGTGTTTGATTTTTAATGTAAGATAACAAGTAGATGTATAAGATTAGAATGTGTCCAACAATTATTGCCAGTGTTCATCATTATCTTAGTATATATATATCATTTTTAAAACTCCTATTCTTTAAAAAATAAACAAGAATAATTTTACTACATATTTCACAATGAGCCTTTAATGTTCTTGTTGCAACGTTTTTACGTATTTACTTTGCATAATTACGATATACATTTATAATATAATATTTCCAATTTTTTAGTTCAATCAACAGTATTATAACAAGCGCAATGTTAAAAACAGAAAGGAAGTAAAGTAAATATTTTTAATATTGGTTAGTAGTTAACTAGTTAACGTTTTTACATATCATTGTGTTTTCTTTTTTGTTTGAGAATTATTGTAGTAAATAATTGGGAATATGCTAGTAGTAGACTGCAACAAATTATTGTTACTAATACATTGTATTTTTATATACCAATATTTATATGTACCAGTAGTTCAATATTGCATATCGTGTAGTGTTTAATTACTAATACGTCTGTATTATCCATCGTTTGTTACTCTTAGGTTTTTGTCAAATGTTCAATTCACTATTATTTCATTTTCGTTTATTCAAATTTTCGTACTCTGCCAGAAGACTGCTGTTTTAAATATGTCATATCGATTAATTTTTTATACTTTTTTCACAATATGAACTCGGTAGCTATTAAGGAGTTATATTTTTTAATACGATAACGAAAAATTGATATTATTCGCTGCCTGTTTGTATATATGTATTTTTGATGACATTGAAAGGTAATCAGTTTTCGTTTATTAGAACTGATAGCTGACATGATAGAACACACTTCATCCAAGCATATTTCCTAGCCCTAAGAATTTCAATTTCACTCTGTGTATACCTTATATGAAAGAACAACTACTCTTAAAATCATAAGTGATTAAAGAGTGACCCTTTGCACGTAAAATGTTGTAAGTTTAAATTATTTTTATAGTATTTTTTTTTTAGTCCTATTGTTTTTGGCATGCTCTGGATTTCGTATTATACAATTTTCTCTCGTGTTTTTACTATATGTATTGACTAAATACTGATGTTTAATAATCCGCGTTTCTAGTGTAGATGGTACTATTGATTAGGTGTTCTTTATTTTATTTACTAACATAAAATTCATAAAAAAAAACATGCAACCGCTTCAGCCATCTGAAGATATATATTTACCATGTTGGATAAATAATCAATTAACTTTTCTATTTAATTTTTTTCTTGTACGAGCTTCATTTTCTTGATCACGAATGTCAAAGAATAACAGTTCATTACGGTGTAATGAATTTAATGATCTGTATCATACAAATACATTTGATGAATATTCTTGTTCTTCGAGGCGATATAAATTAGTTAGATGTCCTATATAAAATCATGGCTTCTAGCTGACAAAAAAACTGCCTTTGTTTTGTATGTACCTTATTTAACATTTTCGTGTTGCTGAGCATGCTAATATGTGATCTTTTATATTTGCGTTACTGAAGCAATTCGATATTTATATGAGAATGGTAATAGCATGTGTAATGCCTTGCATTACTATTTATAAAAAATTTTAGAAAATATCTGGGCAGCACTTTGTAATATTATGAGTATTTTTGTTGTAGTTTGCGATACAAACTACTTGCGTTTTTTTTAGTTGCCATATGAATTTGGTCTTTCAGCAAGGTATATTAAAAATTTCTTGTTGCATTATCATAGTGTTGAAGGTAATGCAATTAAATGTTACTTCTCCTGAACCTTGTAACTTATGTGTAACCTTGTTTACCAACCAATGTTATGTATTTAGTCATAAACCGCGACATGTATAAAAGTTACAAACTTCTGTAAGAAAAAATCTGAATAATCGATAAACGAGCGGTGTAAGTCTTTAAATCTGTGCCAGAAAGGGTAGACCCCGATTTCTGGCATTAATGTATGTGGTAATGTGCCACATTTACATTCACTCTGAACTGTTGTTTCATTAATCTTATTATTATTATTAATATTATTATTATATTATATTATTAATATTATTATAATAAATGATAATTAACGAACTGATTTTCTTAGTTATTTATTTTTACATTTTTTTTAAACTAACAATACTTTAAACAATTGTAAAGCAATGTAAATGTAAGATTCATTCATACTGTCTAATCGTGTAATTTACGTGATGTAATAATTCTAATAAATATCAAATATTGATATTTGAATCATTGAAATTCTAGTCCAGCTATTCTTAATTGTATCATTTATGGTAGATATCGTTTAGTTGTATAAAACATGTACTTTATACTAAAATTTAATAGATAATCGAACACGTGTTTCATAAACTTAATTATTGAATTCCATAGTTTTAATAAATCATGATATTTGTGATATAAAATCGAAAATATTAATCACGCATACGTAATAATACGAAAATTGACAGTATGTATTCCTTTATTGTTTACTTCTTCCCGATTATGTATATGTGTATGGATACGATGTATAGCAACCTAATCCAGACCTAACTCCCGACAATCCTACGCACTTTCGAGAAAAAAATTCCAATAGGTAGACAAATTTTTTGGCGAAATTAAAATATTTCAAATCGATCTGGAAAAATTATTTTCGGTTGCGGTGTTCAATTCAATCATTTTTTAGTCAATAGACGTACCCCCGAATGCTTGGGCAGTCGGGATTTGAAATTGTATGTATAACATCGATTATCAGGTCTCGCCACGAGGAGGTTGCTGCGAGTGGAGTTCCGAAGGGAGATAGATTAAACTTTGATTCCCTCTATCTCCCTTTTACAGTCCTAGAAACTAGATTACCAAAGTATTGTTTTATTTCGAACATGATCAGGGGGTCTTAAAACGTGTATTTACGTGTAAATTTTTCATTCATTATGGACTTTGCTTATATATATGTGCCTATATAGCTCGAAACGTAAAAATGCCTGGGCGGTCGAGATTCGAAATTTGTATGCCGCGAAGACGGATTTCAGCTGTTCAAGAGCAAGAAGGAAAGGCTTCCGTTCACGTTCTTTATCGATTTCCCGAAGTGTTGACCGGGCGTACCGGGTCCTTAGACGCTAAGGAAGTTCGTCGTCACTATTGTCGATTTCGATGCACTCAATTGTGCCCGGTTTGGCCACAGTGTGTCGGCTCTCTCCACCACTCCGTTCGATGCTAAGGAAGTTCATCGTTACTAGTGTTGTCATCGATGCACTAAATTATGGCAGATCTGGCCGTACTGTTACTTATGTTGGGCAGTCGAAATATCAAATGCAATAACGTCTAGAACAATTAAACATTTATATAAAAGTTATAAATTTTTGATATTTTTCAAGTATTTAGTAAAAGATACTGGCAAATCGTAACAAATACAAATCTTACATTTATTTCTCGTATATAGTCGAGATAATTTTTCTTATTCGATTGTTGTAACATTCTCGGATTTAAACGTCTATCGATGTACAATAACGAGTAAATACATACATATAATAAATAACTATATTTTAAGATTTAAAATTGAATTGGATTTACACAAAGCACTGATATTTCATACAGTTTTTTGCAATTGCATTTAAGTCACCAAGAAAATATGCTACAGATCTTCATTTGTTTACAATCAATGATGAGAATAACTGACAAGAAATTATGTTATGTGTAGCACATATTGTTTTTATATCTTATCGCATTCAGAGTTTTACAAATAACGCTTTGCATTAAGTGCATCCATCCTTTAACTTTTACTTAATCTAGTAATAAAATTATTAAGTAAAATACTTTTACAGAGATTTAGCGGTAAAATGATATAGTATAGATTAGTTTTTAAGAGAATGATTCTAGGTACTATATTTAATAGATATTGTTACGGTATTACAAACTATAAAATATGCTTGTTTTGTTTAATTATAACATTTTAAGCATGTTGAAATAGGATTAGATGTATAGTATTTCACCCAAGTGTGCACGCACAAAATCTTTAAAAGGAGACTGCATGAAACATTTCTAAAGAAGAATCCAGAAAAAAATGCTGCATTGGCTGAACATGCTTGTAGGCCAATACACTCTAATTTTTACAAAAATGGTTTGAATCTTCTTTATTGTTATTAATATTTAAATTCTACTTCATTATATACATCGTATTTCATTCTTACTTTATTATTTATATTTAATCGCGTTGATAAAATTACTTTTTCATAATTTATATTTGTTAAAATATATAAATTATTGCAGATACACCTTAACAATGTATCCAAAATGTACACACGAAGGTCAGCAAAGGAAAAGGCAAAGTGAACTTTTATACAGATATGGATATTTTTTATCAATGCTTTTATGTATGATACTTGCATCCCTTAGACCACACCTGGGTAAAACAAACGGTATTTATACTAAAATAATTAAGTTTAGAATTATGCGTAATTATTTATATTATTCTCATGTTGTGTATTGTAGGTGTATTGAATGGGAATATTATTATTCGATACTTTGCAGTGCCTTTAACATACCTAGAAGCAGGGTTGTTGTGTGATCCAAAATCTCTCTATTTAACATTAAGCAATTACTCCCTTCTAATATTTACAATGATCTTTATCTATGTCCTAATGCCCTCTTTGATGAAGCTTGGAGTATGTTTCTTGACTTATGCAGATGTTAATATATGGATGTTAAAGGGAATGGAAGTAAATAAATAGAAATAAAAATACTTGTACAAGGAACATACATAAAGTGTCCCTCTCCCCTCTACACGCAACTTTGATAAAATTTCATGTTTGTAAAGCACCCAAAAAATTAAGTATAGTGGGGGAGGACACTTTGCAGATGTTTCTTCTTAGTAAAAGTTAAGAATTGATTATAATTAATTGTAGATATATTTATTTATTTTAGGTACTTTACTGTATGCCACCTCCATTGAATACAAATCTTGTTCTATGTAGATTGGCACAAGCAGATTTGTCAACAAGTATTGTAATAACTTTAGTTTCTCATTTTGCAGGATTATTCATATCTCCTGTATTACTGTACTTTGTGGTAAATCGCACGATTATTATTTATTACTAAAATTTAAATTATTAATTGCGCTTCTGCTATTTTATAAAAGTTCTTTTAACCAGAAAGTACATTTATTTCTGTTACAGTTAGGAGCATCCACACCTCCTTTGGTCGGCGTTAATGTCAGAGAAACCATTTACAGTACAATTGTACCACTAGCTATCGGTATCGCGATTCAAGTCACTATTTTAAAGTATGATTTTTGTTTTAAAATTAAGTCGCCATGGTTTTCTCAAGCATTGTTATTAGCTACAGCATATCACTGGTTTTGCGATGCTGTATCAATAGATGCATCATCTTTACAAGCCAGTGATGTGTTATTATGCATACTAATTGGTAAGTTTATTAGTATTTATTATATTAATACGTACATTTATATAACTGGATAAATGTTTAACGTCAATTGTTGTGAACATTTTTGTACAATTTTGTCGCATGTATTTATATGATTTAAACTATGTCAAAAATATTCTTGACGTGCACGATTTATATCAGTCCATTATTGGTATTAGTATCTTTTATGTTCAAGCTTGCGTGGGACAACTCTTTGTTAGCTGCTTGTGTTGGATTTTGTGCTCTCGATGGTTACCTCGGGATATCTTATTAGCTGCACTTTTTACAACTACGCACAAGTCAGTGGGTCTTGGCAGCTGGGTTTTACGTGGTGCTTACCACGGTTCGGCTCATGGTCCGGCAGTGAATTTGCCGCTGTCTATACTACCAGTCGCACAATTACTGTTAGGCAGTTTATTAGCTAGTTGGTTGTCCCCATAATGTGAATGTTATGTGAGCAATTTAAATAAATTCGTGTACATTTTGTTACAATTATTTTCCATTTAAAATTGCATGCGTATTTTACTTGTTTCCCATTTAATATCAATTCTTCTTTTCAGTTACGTATACTATGTGTACTGTCTTTTTAAATTCAATATACAACTAATTTTCGTTAAAAAATAAGACTAAAAGTAGGTGTTATTTGTTATAGCAATTTTAATTCTGAGACGCTACGAAGTATTTTAATATGTATTGCTAGATTATGGGAACAAGAAACAAATAGTTGTTCGTATATTACAGTCGTCAATTTGATTAGAAAATTTACAGGAATATACAAAGAATTTTCCATTTATTTTTTTTTTTTTTGTAATATGACAAATAAATTCTTGAATAAACTCTGTTCGTTGAACTACTAATATCGAAATATATCGTGAAAAAAGTACTCTGCTAATTACAGGTAGTATCTTAAAATGTTTGACATATATCCCAATACTCAAAAAATCTGTATGTTAATAATTTTATGTTCTTACAGAATTGTCTTTGTTTTTAAACTTGAAATTTATGTAGATTAAGATTTTCGAATTTAATTAAAAAATTTAATGCATCTACATGATTTAAAGCTTAATCTATCATTGAAAAATGTAATACTTAATGAGATATTGGGTAGGAGTTTACTCAAAATTATTTTCAAAATGTATCAAATAAGTTTATTCATATGTACAATGAAATGCCAAAGGCATTGAAACATAGTCTGTGATTTTCTTTTCTCTAAAATTCGCGTAGAATGTATACGTGCTTCATTTATTGCGGAATTTAATACTTACCTTGAAAATTAAGAATTTGTTTGTAACAATGGTATATTATTTTTGTTTTTAGTATATATTGACACAGCTAGTGTAAAATTATGCACGAATAAGCTTTTTTCGATTCTAATAAACTTAGCTTCATTGACATTTGATAAAAGGAAATCATGACAATTATACATTACACTGTACATCATTACAGGAACAAACTTTAAATAGTACATCAAGTGAAAGTAAAAAAGAAAAATCAAATTACACTATTTCGAAGCGTTATACGCTATATCTTATGTAGTAATTATATAATAAATTGTATTTGTATCTTACAAGTTATAAATATAGTTTCCTCACTTTCGATTGTAAAATTTCTGAAAATTATAAGTATCTACTTATTCTAAAAGTCTGTCTACTGTTATTATAGATATATCTCGAAAGAAATAACAAGAGACAATTCACAGTTCTACACACGAATGAAAAGGATTTTGAATTCAGAATAAGAATGTTTCCCATACAAAACATAGCGATTTTATTCTACAAATAATGGGATAAAGGGCGTAACCAGATAAATTTGTCATGCATCAGTCGATGGAGGATACAGAGAACAAACCCACTCTGCAAAGTTTCAGTTTTCTATCCGCATGATTGAGGTAGTTCTAGGATGTATCGCAATTAACAATTTTTTCTTGACAACTCTTATTTTCTTCGATCGAAATTTTGAAAAATTACGAACATTTTAGCCATTGGAATATACATCTACGAATATTACCAAAATTTTTAGCTTCAAAACTAAACTTAAAATAAAAAATAAAAAAAATTTTGAAATGCCGATTTGTTATAGAAGTTATAAAACGACCAAGTTTACATTTTAACAGTTCAAGCACCTCGTTCTGGTCGTTAACATATAGTTTTGTCAAATTTTTCAAAATGGGGCACAACAAAATCACAAAAACCGGTAATTGTTCGTATTACTGACGGTGTCAGTCATTTAACATTCGTGTATTTTAGCAAAAGTATTGCGAAACAAAATTACAATGCTCACAGGACGTGAATTTAGGCAAAACAAAAATTTGGGCAATTTTTACTGTAAATCTATAAAATATATGAGCGTTAAGGGTTTAATGTTACTGATTGGTTTTTTTTTCTCGACATGAAACAGATGAAGCGTTATCGCTTCGCGTGGCAGTATTCGACACGCATTTCAAAATTACCCCTGCCACTGAAACGGTTAAAACGTTTTTAAGTTTTCATGCGACATCTAATTTTTGCTCAAAATCGTACTTTTTCACAAAAATTCGTACTCCTCAAAGACTAAGAACGATGGAACAATTCTGCTTCTGCATTCCTGTTTGAAACTTCACTAGGAATACCTAGCGGATATAGCACAACAGAAAAAGATTTTAATTTATTGGACAGTGTTATAGAAACAGAAGAAATATCTACACAGAAGAATATGAAGTACCACTGTCCAGTACTTCGCATGATGTATTAAAAAAAGCTTTATTTGATTGTGTTGCATGTTCTTCACGAAGAAAATCATCATCTAATTCTGTACCATCGAAAGAAGATCCATCCTGCATTTTTAACAGAAATGATTCTCGTCAGGCAAGCGAGTATGAATATATTAAAATGCCACTTTTCAGATTTGTCTTAAGTCACAGATGTTTGCTTAGTCTCTGCAGCTCTATAAGTAATATTATTAATGCACCACATGAAACAAAGAAACAAATATTTATTTTGAGAAGACTGTATGGTATCGTAATTGATGATAATCGAGACGCGAAAAACTATTTGGAAGACGATAGATTAAAAATATTTATGCCTTTTGTTTAAGGCAAACGGAATCAACGAACCACATTGGAAACTAATGATTCTCGTTTGGTAATGAAACTGGTAAAGAAACTTCGCTGGTAGAAATCCTCCCCAAAATTTTTGCTATTGAAGAAACACATCTTGTAATCAACGATGATAGCGACGAAGACTAAAGCAGTAGGATAACTTTTTTTTGTAGAAAATAATCTAAATGCACGTTATTTAAAATTCGATATAATATCCATTTAAAAAAATTAATTATACGAGCCGTATGATTGTGATACTTGTATGGATATGGAAAAGGTAAAGAATAATGGTTTTCTAATTTTTTCAATATGACGCACCTTTCTAAAAAATCTGAAAAAAAAAAAATGCAAGTTAACGATTATAATGAGCTAATAAAACTATAATAATATCGACATAGTCAAACGATTGGCATCGTCGGTAATGTAACAAATGACCGGCTTTTTGATTTTTTAAAATATGTGCCCCCATCTTGAAAAATCTGAAAAAATGATATGTTAATAATCCTAACCAGGTGCTAAAACTATAAAAATATGTAGACATTTCGTAATTTCTATAAGAAATCGGCATTTCAAAAATTTTTTTTATTTTTTAAAATCGGTTTTGAAGCTAAAAATTCTGAAAAGATTCACAGGTGTGTATTCCAATGGCTAAAATATACCTAATTTTTTTTTCAGAATTTTCGATTGATGTAAATAAGACAAATCAAGCAAAAACTGTGTTTCACCCTATAACTAGAGCCAAAATTGCAAAGGTTTTTTTCTCTGTGCCCTCCATCGATTGATGCATGACAAGTTCAATTTGATTTAGAGTCATTTTTTATCATCTTATCCGGTTACACCCTTTGGTTAGATTTTTTTCTTGTTGGAAACTTGCATATCAGTTTTCTATTTTGCGACGCGCAACTCGGCACGGTATATATTTTTCATATCGTTATAACGCGCACACGCATATATTTAATAATATTAACAAATAGTGTAACACTCATGATAACGTGTATGAGCTCGTAACCTGACTCTTTCGTGAAAATCATGGCATTTGATGCATCAAACGACGGTGCAGCAGTGGCGCAGGTGCTGAGCATGTATTGATTTGCCCAGATCATCACACAGTCATTGTAGCTGGTATCAAGTTTTTGTCACGAATAACGCTGACGCTGCTATCGCCGCCAGCTACGCGATTCACCATCTTCATCCTCCTCTTCTTCGTTCTCTTCGAGAAGTAATGCTTCTACGTTACCCTGTTACAAATCAAATTTATCGTATATAAAATAAACAGAATGGTTCTTTATTTCTTTAATTTAACGTTACATTAAACAGAACAGGAAATGTTAATTGAATTGTTCTGGAATATTTGCCAAACAAAGAAGGAATATTATAATTAAATTTAAGTCTTAGGAGCTTACTTCTAAATCAATTTCTTCATCTGTTGTAGGTGGTGCTTGTTCGGAACGTGAAGAAAGTTGTACTGATGCGTTTGTATTGCTACCACCTCCACCACGGTGTAAGTGATGCCCGGAAACCCATGTTATAGATAATAATCTATCCTGAAATGTGCGTCCCTTTACTAAAGCCACCTCGGCTTCTTTTCTTGATTTGAAATTGATTACAATTGAAGGTGTTGCATCATCCACTATTTGATTCACTATTTCTCCAAATTGCTGAAACACACAATTAGTAAAAAAATTAATTAAAGGCCCGATCATAATAAATAATGATTTTAATAAAACGTACACGCGGAAAGGATAAATGGATACTTACTTGAAAATGCGCTAAAACTTCAGCCTTTTCTTCGGTTTCGTAACCAGAGACTAGAAGACTCGTCGGTCTGTGATCTACCGAAACGTGAGTAAAACTTCCTCTACCACGACCTCTATATGATAATGCATGGGTACCTCGTATAACTCTACTGGATCTTGTACCTCTACCAACAGTTGGACCTGCATTTAAACCTAACGCAGCAGCTTGAGCTCGTAGCTCGTTTAATCTCTTTTGCAACTCTCCGGCGTCTTGTCCCTCTTGTTGAGCAGTCATTAAATCTAACTCAGCGTCTAATATCTCTTTTTGGGTTTGTTCTCTGGATTTCGCTTGTGTCTTATTTCCACCAATTTGACCGTTTGCAGCTAGATCCTTTCGTAAATTGTCGATAGTTTGTTGCATGGTCTTTATCGTTGTCATAAGTGCATCTTTTTGTTCTGGATTCTTTTCGGCTTTGTCGATCAATGCTCGAATTTCTATCAAATGCTTATCTAATAATTCCTGTTTTCTTTTTCGCAGGTCGGCGGTTAACTTTAACGCCTCTTTACGTTTCTCTTCCTGTTTCTTTTTTAAGGTTTCCTTAGCAGCTAGTATTTCTTGTGTTTTTTTTATTGCAAGTACTTTGTCTTCCCGCGTAGGAACAGTGGCGGTGGTTTTTGGCGATGTCGGGACCAAGCTTTGCGTGACTTGTTCTTCGGTCGAACGACGAGTGGGAATATATTCATTTTCTTCGGTTTTCGCTGGCGCGGGTATAGCAGCACCCAATCGTTCTTTGACAGAGGGTCGACATCCTAAATAAAATTAAAATCTTCGGTTAAACATCGAATTGTTTTATTTAAAGGGAAATGTAATCAGTTACGAAGTTTATACAAACTTACCTGGCGGTACGTTTTCAATAGCATCGCCAGCTGCATTATTGTTAACATTGTTGTGCCAAAACACTTTGATAAATCTATTATTCAACACAGCCTCTGTACTTCTGTACGCAGCCTTTGCTTCGGTCGGTAGTTGAAAGGTAACTAACGCTCCCTCAGGATCCCCACCAAAATTAACTTGGATATTTACAATTTTACCGAATTTTGAGAAGTGATTATTCAATTGGGTTATGTTGTTCAGGCTGCGAGGAACCTTTTTCAGTTCCAAAGAACAGTTGGCCGAATTGTGCACCACTCGTTGTTTTGGTCCAAGACGATTGAAATCGAATGCTTGTTTACGCTTTAACGGATTCGTCTGAGTATGCGTTATCTCAGACGAGTTCGTATGTGGAATAACTGGCACGCTAATTAATTCTCTTTGACCTCGTCCATAAATTCCAGGTCCTGGTAGGGGATGCCTTCCCCATGGCATTCGTGGCTCCATGCTTGGCGCGTCTGGGTTGTACTCTGCGAATGCGTCTGTAAAAATTCATTGCACGTTAAAACACTAATAGAATAGTACGCTAATAAACAAATGCTTACCCATATTAGAATGATGTTGATTTCTTAAATGAGGCGGAGGTAAACTCGCAAGAGGAAGGTGTTGAGGTGGTGCATTTCCTGTAGGTCCTTGAGGTGGTTCTGGTACTGCTGTTACAGGTACAGTTCCCGGTGCTTGTGCACTATGCGGTCCGAAGGTCAGAACGCGACTTAAAGCTACATCTTCTAATACAACTGGATCTGTTCCATGATCATAAGGGCACAAATCACCTCGCATGCAATATCCTTTTTCTGTAAGTATATGTTTCTTTCTTAGAGAATTAAATATCTTGCTACGCAATATTTACTATATCGATCAATAAATCGAAAAATACAAACCGTCAAAGTCTCTGCACCTCCTCTTTGTTTGGAATCCTGGTTGGTTATTTGGTACACTAGAAGCAACAGCAACAACGCTTTGAATTGATTGACTAGTAGTAGACAACCTCATGTCTACATCCCCGTGATTACTGTCCTGTGTTGGAGTACCACCACCAGGACTTCCTTCAATTCTTTCCGTTCTGTCTACATCCATTCTTTCCGACCGATCTACTTTCTTACGATCTAGCGATCTTGATCGAGATCTTGACCGAAGAGGTGTTGGAGACCTGTTCCTAAATCGTGCTCTGTGGTCACGATTGTCAGGGCCGTCTCGTATTCTGGGCCGTATTGGCGATGTACTACGACTCCTACTTCGTCTATGGGCAACATCAATTATTGTAGAGAAGAACGAAACGTACAAATTGAAATACTTTGTTCATGATGTAATACTATTACAGACCTTCTGTCGTGTCGTCTTGTATTTGGTGGTGACTCGTTTCTCCAGGGTCGACTTCTGTCGCGTTCTCGATCACGGCGAATATGTTCCCTGCTTCTAGATCTACGTCTATCTCTTTCCCACGAACGTGAACGTGATCTTGTTCTAGATCTCATTCGGCCGCTTCTAAAGTAAACATAGTTTGCATTTCAGAAAAAAATATATTACATAGATTTCCCCATCTTTGTTATCTCAATCAAACTCACCGACTTCGTGAACGTTTCTCCTTTTCTTTGTCAATTTTGTCAGAGTCTGATTTTCTAGTTTCACGTTTACCTATTGCCATAGGAGCTGATCCGTTTATTTGGAGGGGCACAGGTATATTTGTATTCACAGTAGTAACTGGAATTGTACTTTCAGCTATCTTTTCTGTTACTAATGCAGGCGCTGGTGGATTTACACCTGGTGGTGTCCCACCGCTATCTGGATCATTCTTTGCAGGTGGAAGTATGTATTCTTGAGTCTCCAATGTTTTAAATAACAATTCCACAAAGTTCTTGGTTTCTATGAGAAAACCACCATGGTAAAAATTAACATGTAATTTATGCAAATAAATTGTTCTTATAATTAATTTAAACATACCATGTTGCAGAAATACATCAAGTTGTTCGACCATTCCACCTCTCAATTCTTCCAATGTTTTGTCCTTCTTAACGAGGGCATATACATATTTTGCTAATGCAGCAGGATCAGCATCACAACTGCAAAGGTAAATAAATAACATCAATATTATATGTGAATAATTAGAAAATAATTATACAAGTTTAACTTCCGATTGATGTAAATTTTAACTACAGATTAGCTAATTATAGACTGTTACAAAATGTATTCAACAGTATGAAAGTTTAACACAACATATAATTATTATACATTACTGTAGAAAATAAATGGTGTTTTTACTATGTCAGTCTATATGAATGATGAATGCATGTTAACAATTATGATTATGTATAAGTTTCCAGCAGATAAAAGAATAATGTATTAGGCTATATAATAAACATCATTTTAATAAGTCAATTGCAATCTATTACAACATTTCTGTAACTTACAGGGTACAACAAAATTAGATCAATAAATTATACATCTATAAATAAAGTTAATTACATGCTTGTAATTAGTCAATTATATATAAATAATAAAATTATTTGTGATGATAGAAAAAATATCATACAAGATATGTTAATTACTCATAACACATTTAATATTCTTATATAGTTGTAACAAATTTCAATATCTTTTCTGTGCAAATGTTTTAGCAATCATTAAGTTGTTTACAAGGCAAATCTTGTAATAGACAAACGAATATTTTTAATCAGAATTTATTTGCAGAGATCATGTTCAATTAATCAGTATTGTCAACAAATAGTTATGGAATAAGCCAATTTCTGAAGTTAAGTAAGAAGTAAAGGGGGCCATCCGCTCGTGATAATTAGGGAAATATGCATAGAATTGAAGCTCTGTAATAAAACTTAGCAAAATGAACTATTTCACTCTCAATTACTCGAAATGTATTCGCTGCAAATTGCATGAGTAATATATCGCGATCGGGCATATTGTTGTTCTATTGGTTTTTACCAAAAGCGCGATCAATCTGGTGCGATAACGCTGTCCGAGAAGATCTATTGAAGATCATTTAGAAACAGACAGGGTGGCCCACGTAAATATAAATCTGCATGGGGTATAAAGCATAGCACATGTACGGCCATTTACAACATCAAATGCATATACACATACACCTAAAACTGTACTCGGGCAAGCTGGCCTACTTACAGCGGCTCCAAGACGGCGGTGAGCCACGCCTTGAATTGATCTGGATTCTCTATTATCATTTTTAGTGAATATGCGATGAAAACACATGGAACTTTTCAAAAACACACGTTAATTACACAATTTCTGGGCGGGAATAAGTATTCCCCTAAGTAAAGACAGTCGCCATTCTGAAATCTCCTCCTATACACATAGCGTTCACATAGATAGACATTTCGCTTCTAGAAAATATCACAGGAGTCGCCGCTGGTAGTGCCTCGTCAAATAAGTTAGTTACGCTCGCTAGTTTGTCAACATAGAGTGTGCACAATGTAGTTGAACGTATAACGTTGCATACAGACTTCTTTGCAGATAAAATTTTCAGTGAATTTAGGAACATTTGATAATATGGTTCCATGGACGGTACACACTATTGCGAAGCGTGTGACGAGACGGAAAGGAGATCAACCTTTAAAAGTTTTACAGTCATTTTACATTGGTCAATCAGTGACGTTACATATGATAATCATTTATGTAATACAGCGTTAGTATCAAACAGCTTTGCTTTTCTAATTATATATACATATGGAACTATTTTTTTACTGCATTTCATTCTTTCAGAGACAAAATAATAATCCAATAGCGCGTCAATTCGGGGCAGCGTTAAAGAAATGCCATATTAATTGGAAATAAGGAGTATAGATATCTCAATTCAAGGGAGCGTTTAAGAAAATGCTATATTAATTATATCTGTGACTGAACACTTTAGGGAATGTTTCGATGCTACAGTCATAGACAAGGAATAGTCTAGATCTATCAATCAATGGGACTTCGTGCGAGACGAACAGAAATACCAACTTTGTAAAAAAAACAGTGATTTTAAAGCGACCTCTTCGTTTAAAAAACGGTAACTCTAGAAACTATAGTCAACTGAACCGCCGAAATCGATAAACCTGGCAAATGTATGAAGTCTCTCTCCTTACGGCCTGTACAGAGTTGCCGCTACTAACGCGTGCAGGATTGCCATTTCTTACAAATACCACTCAGTGATGCCAGATTGAGCACCGGGTGCACTACTCACTATGCCAGATCACGCGTACGTGAGCTCGTGGAGTTTCGGAGAGTCGACAAAGGCAAACTGACCCATGCCCCCTTTCTCGATTCTCCGAAGCTGCCCGAAGTAATTTCGGACCGTCTCGTGGGAGTCGAGAGAGGAAGGCTCATTTGCCTTCTCGCACTTGAACAATTGAAATTCGACCTCACGTCGACGGCATACGATTCCAAGTCTCGACTGGCCAGGTATTTTTTATTTTCTGACCTATGTATGTAGACGAACATAAGCAAGAATTATTATTCCTATATATGAGCGGACATATGTATATCATTTCAGATATCACTTCTGATACATCTGGCAACGTACAACCATTACTGCTGGCTACTGCCAGCCTCTCGCAGCCTCCGCTGGCTTCAGCTGGCCTCTGCTAAACTCTGCCAACATGTGCGGGCTTCTGCCTGCCTCTGCTGGGCCCTGCTGACCACTGCTGACCACACCTGATACTTCCGATAACGTATAACGATTACTACTGGTTACTGCCAGCCTCTCCCAGCCTCTCCCAGCCTCTCCTGACCTCCGCTTATATTTCTGACGACGTATAACAATTACGACTGACTTCTGCCAACCTCCGCTGGCCTCCGCTGACCACTGCTGACCACCCCTGATGCTTCCGACAACGTATAACGATTACTACTTGTTACTGCTTGCCCCTGCATGCCTCTGCTGCCCCCTGCAGGCCTCTGCTGACCACTGCTGACCACTGCTGATCGGTGCTGACCATTCCTGGTACTTCGTGCAATGTATAACGATTACGACTGGCTACTGCTAGCCTTTCCCTGCCTGTGCTGGCCTCTGCTGACCACCCCTGATGCTTCTGACAACGTATAACTATTACTACTTGTTACTGCTGGTCTCTGCATGCCTCTGCATCCCTCTGCTGGCCTCTGTTGCCCCCTGCTGACCACTGCTGACCTTTGTTATTAACTTCTGACATGATGTATAACTATTCAAGCCTTGTATAATGTAAATCTATGGCAATAAATGATATAATTTAACAGAATTCTATGTGTTCTCATCATTTTTACCTTTCTTTTCCTCTCCAAATCATTCCCTTAGTTTTAAGAGACCGTTCTTCCGGTTAAAATTGGATTCCCAAAGTGTCCAGCTCTCGTACTTGCTGCCAAAAACAAAAATTAACTTTTCAAAAAGCCCTGAAACAATTGGAAAGTCCTGAAACAGCTGGAATGTCCTGAAACAACTCGAAAGCCCTGAACCCCCTTGGAATTTTGAGACCAGCTGGAAAGTCCTGAAACAATTGGAAAGTCCTGAAACAGCTGGAAAGCCCTGAATCAGTTGGGAAGTCCTGAAACAACCGGGAATTCCTGGAATTTCTTGGAAACGTTGAAAATTCTTGGAAACCCTGAATTTTTAGCAAAGTTCTGAGTTTCAGGACTTCCGAGGTGTTTCAGGACTTCCTAGTGGGTTCAGGGAAACCAAGGAGTTTCAGGGAGTCTTATAACTAAGGTAATGATTTGGAGAGGAAAAGAAAGGTAAAAAATGATGAGAACACATAGAATTCTTTGTAATTATATCATTTATTGCCATAGATTTACATTATACAATGTTTTAATACATATATATCATGGCAGAAGTTGTTAACAAGGATCAGCAGTGGTCAGCAGGGGGCAGTAGAGGCTTGCTGAGGCAAGCAGAGACCAGCAGGGGCAAGCAGTAACATGTAGTAATCGTCACACGTTGTCGGAAGCATCGGTGGTGGTCAGCAGTGGTCAGCCGAGGCCAGCGGATGGCAGCAGTGGCAAGGAGTGGCAAGCAGAGACCAGCAGGGGCAAGCAGTGGCAAGTTGTAATCGTTATACGTTGTCGGAAACATCAGGGGTGGTCAGTAGTGGTCAGTAGGGGCCAGCAGAGGCAGGCAGAAGCCCGCACATGTTGGCAGAGGTTAGCAGAGGCCAGCAGAAGCCAGCAGAGGCTGCGAGAGGCTGGCAGTAGCCAGCAGTAATGGTTATACGTTGCCAGATGTATCAGAAGTGATATCTGAAATGATATACATGTGTCCGCTCATATATAGGAATAATAAAAATGAATTTATTTTTTTTTCAATAATTCAAATATGATCAGGGGGTCATAAAACGTGTATTTCCGTAAGAAAAATTTCACAAAATTTTGTTCATTATAGTATCTTGCTTATGTTCGTCTACATACATAGGTCGGAAAATAAAAAATACCTGACCAGTCGAGACTTGGAATCGTATGCCGTCGACGTGAGGTCGAATTTCAATTGTTCAAGTGCGAGAAGGCAAATGAGCCTTCCTCTCTCGACTCCCACGAGACGGTCCGAAATTACTTCGGGCAGCTTCGGAGAATCGAGAAAGGGGGCATGCGTCAGTTTGCCTTTGTCGACTCTACGACACTCCACGAGCTCACTTACGCGTGATCTGGCATAGTGTGAGTGGTGCACCCGGTGCTCAATCTGGCATCACTGGTATATACATGGAATCGCTGCCATCTTTATCGTTTCTTGGCGTGGTGCGTGGCCGGCTAGATTTCTGATTTTTAAGTACATGATAGTATTTATGTGTCTTGTGTCTTTGAGTGTAGAAGTTACATAAAGGGTTTAACATGAGTACAGACAGTATTGAAAAGTTATACAAAAATTTTGGCATTTTAGCTGACGCCAAGGATAAATTGGCGGAGGTAACATACGAACTTGGTTATACTGTTAAACCACGTTTATTTCAGTATAGCTACTACAATTTGATTCATGTTTATAGGAATAAGAGCATCTTATTCTTTAATTCTCGAAATTCGATAAAATCGAAATGCTTTGAGTATATTAAATATTTACACATATATATATACACACACACACACATTCACAGATGAGAATGAGTGCATCATGCATCATTGAATGTGAATAGTGTGAGTGCGCGCGCGTGCAAAAGTAAACTTTTGTTTTTATATGTTGCAGCATGAAAAGGAGTACTTAGAAATTCTAACAGCAGTAAAAGGATCACCGAAGGAAAAACGATTAGCATCCCAATTTATTGCAAGGTTTTTTAAATATTTTCCAAAACTGGCTGATCAGGCTATAGATGCTCATTTAGATTTGTGTGAAGATGAAGACATGGCTGTATGTTTTATTGTTATTTATATAATTCCGTTGTTATAGGCTATTGCAAACTCATGCACAATGCGTATGCAAGCTGGTAGACAAGATATTTATATATGTATATAATCTATTTACAGATTAGAAAACAAGCTATTAAAGATTTACCTGCATTGTGCAAAGATAATAAAGAACATACGGCTAGAATTGCAGACATTTTAGCTCAATTACTTCAAGCTCAAGAACCATCTGAGTTAGCTGTAGTTCATAACAGTGTTATGTCTCTTATGAAATCTGATCCAAAAGGTATAGATACATTTTATTAATAGGTCTATGTGAAAGTCTGTCGGACAAGATACGGTATTATAATCTTGTGTAATTTGTTTATCCTCAGGTACAATAAGTGGGTTTTTCAGTCAAATTATTAATGGAGATGATGGGACGCGCGAACGTTGCATTAAGTTTTTGGCAACAAAACTGAAAGCAATAGGTCACGATGTTATCATTAAGGAACCAGAAGATCTGCTAATTTCAGAGTGCAAGAAAGTATTACAAGTAAGATCCTTATATACTTATATTATTTTTTACCTAGCATTCGTAAAACATTCACTTTTATAGGATGTTACTGCTGATGAGTTTCATAGTATTATGGAAATCCTTGCTTGGACTAGATTAGGCTCAACAGTTAGTGGACAACAAGAATTGGTAGATATTACAGTAGAACAAGCTGAATTATCCGAACCATTTAAACACACTAATATTGAACAATGGAATAGGCTTGTACAATGCATTAAACATGCACTTCCATTTTTTAGCGTGAGTGTAGCCTCTATATTTATTAGTAAAAATCTATTTCCTTTTGGATACACAGTAATACATTTCTCTCGTTTATAGTCTCAAATAGATTCATCACGATTTGTTTCTTACATTTGTATGCAAGTTTTACCGCATCTCTCTTTAATCACTGCACCAGATGGTAGAGACATACAGTTGGAATTATTAAAACTACTTGCTGAATTAACTGTATTTTGTGGGACAATTGATAAGCCAGAAGAGAAAGTACAACAACTTTATAATACTCTTATAGTGAGTAATAACGCTTCTCCGTACTAGAAATCCGTGTATTTAACATTTCACGGGAGAAGTAATTATATTTTATTTTACGTTTCAGACATATATGCCACTTCCACCAGCTACTGAAATAACTGAGGTACCAAAACTACAGTTTAGTCATGTTGAATGTCTTATGTATGCCTTCCATAAATTATGCAAACAAACACCAGAATTTTTAATAAAAGATCCAGAACAGCTTAAGGAATTTAGATTAAGATTACAGTATTTTGCACGTGGTATTCAAGGTTACATAAAAAAATTACGGGAAGCGATTAGCGGAAAATCAGAAGAAGAATTGAAATCGGAAGAAAATCAGTTAAAAGTTGTTGCTTTGAAAACGACTAATAATATTAATACTTTAATTAAAGATCTATTTCATTCACCACCCAGCTTTAAAAGTGTTATACATCTTTCGTGGAAGACATCGGTAAACGATAAAAAGGTAAATACGAGACGAATTTAATATTAGAAATCATTTTGTTAATTTTATCGTGTTTCGTTCTAGAATGAGAAGCACTCGTCTGTTCAAAAGAGACACACGCCAATTACATTTGGCAATGACAGTAACTCAAACAAACGCAGTAAAGAAGATAAAAGTAAGAGAGAAATATATACACCACCTAGCGGAAAGTACAGTTCAAACATATCATCAAATTATGGTATTTAAAAGGATCATTTGTTATTTCAGTAATTATTTACATTTAGGATTATCTATGATTTAGAGTGTTTGTTTTGCGTTATAGGTCGCGGTAGATTTAGAGGAAACAGGTCAGGGGGCAGAGGTGGCTACAGACCAAGAGGTCGTGGTACATGGAGAAAAAATTTTTATTAACTACTTTGCTCCTTTAATTGTTTAAAAAAACACGAAATAGCAAGAGCTGCAATAATACGAAAGACTATACCAGGCCTGTAAAATGTATATACAAACGAAAAACAAAAGTGACTATTTACAGAGAGTGCTCTTTAAGGAAAGTGACAAAGAAAATGTAACTGTTTTTGTTTTATAAACGTAGTGTAAAGGAAGTGTTTTTGTGAAAGCTTTAAGTACCTATACAAGTTTCAATTACAAAATCGTAAGAACCAATCGTTTGCTGAACACAGTGAGAGATCACTGTTTTACCAAGTTATTGACATTTAAAGAAGAGAACATTTGTGTGATTAATATACTCATGGTGTTTTAAGAAGTTGTTTTTATATATTCATCGTTAAATCAAATGATAATTATGATTTGGAGAGACCTGAACTTGCTAAAAGTGAACAAGCACATTGAGAGAAATTACAAGAATAGTAGTGGATTTCGAAAGTGTATGCTATTGGTAGCATCAATCACAGGTACCTTAGCTGGTGGTAGAACATGAACAAAGTAATGAAGAGAAAAAGGTGTGAAAACAGTATGTTAACCATTCAAAGAGGTCGAAGAAACATCGGGCGTTGCGACAAAGAGTGCTGCACATTTGAAACTGAATATTTCAAAATTAAAACTGTACAATGACTGGCTTGTGCTATCACATGGACATTGGTGTCACACATGTTTAGAAAAGACAGACAATTTTTCTCTTCTACAATAATTTTGGACGTTTAAATAGTATCAAAGTGTATTCCCTTATCCCCTGATTCTATCCTACTCCTTTTCTATTATTTCTTTGTCAACAGGAAACAAAGATCGGCGCAACTAGAAGGGCATGGACGAAGCAATGAATCATAAACGTTTGATTAAATCAGAGAAACTTGAAGACTAATTCTGTTTTCCATTTTTTAAACGATTTATTTCTATATGAATGTACCGTTTTTCATATATACAAATAGATTTATATTCTTATTCCATTATTAAACACTTAGGCTGATTCTTTGTTAATCGAAAGTGAAAGGACTGTTATATTCGGCGATACCGTGGAAAATACGATTTAAAAGTCTGAAAGTTTCTCCGATCGCGTGGAAACGAAGACAATTCACTATACAGCCTTTGTTTTAGAGATGCTGTAAGCTGTCTGGTGACCTATGAGTGACAAGACAAGGCGGAATTAATAGTTCTTTGATTGCAGATTGTTTATAGGTCCATTGGGGAGGATTACGACGAGAGATTATAATGCTATTTTTCTTTTCAGGAGCCAATGGACAACTATATATTGTCTATTATTTATGTATTGATGGTAGCTGTTTTGTAAGGTGAGTTTTAAAAATAATTTGTGTCCTTTTCCTACCCACCATCAAACAAAAATTCTGTAATAATAATAATTCATGAATATATTATCATTTAACATAATAAACATTACTATTGCATAATATGTTGTATTTTTTATGCCCAATAATGTAAAATATTTCTATATACAATCAATTCAAAAATTTGTAAAACTTCATAGTTACTGAAAGTTCGTGTTTCAAATTGATATTTAATGTAAATGTTTTGTATTGTTCGCTTGTCAATTATATATATATATATATATATCTATTTAAAAACTTACTTGTACCCATTAATGTATTGTATTCCTGAAATAATGTTTACAGTTTCGAGTATGTAAATATTATTTCATTAAATTAATTTGAATACTAATTAAATAAAAAACATTCACCCGAATTGTACTGTGTCCCGTTTGTATGCATAACGTATAAACAAAATGAATGAGTGATACAAAAAGGCAAAAATCATTTCAATTTTTATTATTTAATAAATAAACTAGTTATATTTTTAGAATTATTATAATTACAATATATGTTACATTTATAATTACAGCAGTTTTTACAAGTTGTTAAAAATGTAAATCTATAAAAATTTATTATTTAAAACAGTCCGTTCGATGAGATCATATCGTCTATTACTTTGCACATTATGCGATCACTTGGACTGCACGGATCTGAAGTCTGTTGTTCAGATCCTAAATTATCAATAGATTGCATAGCATCTGTGTTTATTGCTAGGTTTGAATCTAGCTCAGAAGTATCTGGTAACATTTGTAATGCGTGTTGTAAAATCTCTTGAACCTGAAACAGAAAGCCCAACAATACTATAGTTATCATACAAATGATTTTCATTATATGCACCAAATATTCTAGTACAAATAACACACCCTTTCCAAATGCTTTTGAAACCTGAGCGCAGTTTCGATACGTTGTCTACGCTGTAATTCCATCATAACGCGTAACGTTTCTCTGGCTTGATGTGGCCTGAATTCGTTTAACAAATGGTGAATGTGAATGAACAACAGGCTAAGATCTTCTACCTACGGCAATAAAATTAACGATGTAGATACGTCTCGCCGATAAATTCATTCAAATGCTTACTTTTTCAGCTCGCCTTGGACTGTCAGGACATTGTACGAGCAGATCTATCAAATCCAGAAAATTAACAAGCAGAGAGTGATTGAGTTTCTTCAACTCCCGTCGACGATCAAAATGTTGGGGGTATAACCTTTTAATTCCCTGTGCTTCGAGGGGTCTGATGATCGTGTCGTCCGCGTTGAATACATTCCCAAACATTGAATAAGTATCGTGTATTGGCGGCGGTGGACGAGGTGCTCTGCCCCGTCGGACATTTTCGTCCGTGTACAAATTAATATATTGAACCGGAGGCAACGGTAACGAGCTGACTTGTATTGCCTCGGGGGCTGCCATTTTTTATGTTTCAAATCAGCGTTATTTAGAAGAAGCAAGATACAGCCACGCTCGAATTTCACTTCCCCTTGACGCGCACAGACAGGTTAGGTTCGATCGAAGGGAAGACTGTTGTCAAACTGATCGGAGTGTCGAGCTTCAGCGCGCAGGCGCGTACTTTCGCGCCCAGTTGTTACTTTTTTTTTGTTTCTTCGACAATAGTCAATTTGTCCGATATTAATAAAATGATCATCGAAACAGTGAACGTAGTACATAACCGAGAAAACGATATCGATACATTACAAGACCGAACTGTACGAATCTGGCCTTGCGCGCGACACAGCGGTGTCGAGCATTAAATTGCAACCAATACGACTTCACGATGCTTGCGGCATACTTGTACATCGATATTCGTTTACTCGAAACTGCAAAGTTATCCACGAAGTTCGTATACACTCGTTGCGATGCTATTTACCGTAAATTAGCGAGAAGTAAATATCGCTGGCCAAGAGCAAAACAACATGTAACGCAGCCTTCGAGTCGGCCATCTTGTTTTTTTAAAATGAGTCAACAGGTATTATACAGCCAGCAGGACGTCGAACCCAGGCCGGAGATTTTCGTTGTTTAACTAGTAAATCGAAGGTGTCGAACCGCTGACATCGTTCGGTTTTTTCTATCGAGAAACCGGTACCGCGGTCGCGCGACATCTCGGATAAATGCTCTACTAACGTAGTGAGGTATTTCCTGCTATCTCGTGAATCTCCAACGTCTCCGTTTGACAGATTGTCGGTGTGTGTATGCGTTCGTTCCACGTGAATTCTTTGTTTGGGCACCGGTCATGTTTCTGACAAGCATTGAAACTGCGGGGTGGTAGCAATAACTCGGTGCATGGTGAGTCGTTTTTCTGTTACAAATTTCGTCTACACGATTGTTATTCCCGTGAAACGTCTCCGCGGGAATACAATCGTGCAATTGTGTGTCAGGATAACCACAAAACTAGGCGCGTTATCGTCGGACTTGCCGTTCTATTATTTTCGTCGATCGCGAACGAAATGCTCCGTGACGCTCTATTTCGATGACTTATCATTTTTTTTAATTAAACATTCGTCCAGCGATCAGGTTTCAACGAATAATACCGAGTTACGAATAAAACAAAGAGCAGAATTCGTTCGTTGCAACGTAGAGTTTGTTTATCGCTAACCGTGATTTTTATAGAAAAAAAAAAAAAAAGAAAACACTAAAGGCTGCATTACAAGTTGGAAAAGGGAAATTAAATTGTTCGAATATGTGTATTATTTGTTATAGATATAAAAATGTATCCTGTTCTGTAACTTCATTTCTATGCTACATATCTTCTGAAAAAAAGTAAATTAATTCTACTGTGTTTAATATACTTACTGTCTAAGAAAACAGAGAATGTTTATAATTAGCATCATGGATGTTTGTTGCTTTAAAGTCTGTTGCAATTCAAATTTACATTGCATCCATCGCTTGCACGTAGTTTTACGTGGTATGTTCTCATGTGCTTTTCTACAATCATTATAAACTTTCTAATATTATTTTGTGTAAAGTTATGTATAATGTACCTTTCATTTATAAAATTTTATCATTCTTCTAATGTATGGATAATGTTGTGTAAAAGAAGATTTCCTAATATGATTAACCATGCAATAAAATCTATTAATCTTTTAATGATCTACTGCTGTTACTGTATTGTTTTTGTTGTATTACCAAAACTTCCTACTTTTGCTACTCAATTGTTTCTTAGTCTCTGGGTATAATTTTCATCCAGGAGCGTACACTTTCCTAGCAAATACATTCACCACATTCTACACGGTAATAAAAAGTACTTTTAACAAAATGTTGCACGAGTTGCATCACAATGCAGGTTTCTAATTCAGACACCCGTAACATGTTCAATTGGAATCATTGTTCTTCGCAACATTGCGTTCTCAGATCAAAAGAAATGCAAACTTGTAATAATTATCTATCAAATTTACTACTGGATACTACTATATGCAACCAATTTCTAGCAACTGGAGTTCATATTTGACACATGTAGCCCTCCACATTTTTATTTTTAATTTCATTTTTTTGTCTACTCACGTTCTCATTGCACGTACCTCGCGAGGTGTAAAAAGTCTCGACGACGAGTGATAATTTAAAGAGACGTCGAGGTTTGGGCGGTGTTCTCAAAATCTTAAAATCTCGTTGACACGATTTATCAAAAGAATTCAACGACCGTAAGCGATCATTGATGCGATTCGTAAGAGCTCGTACCTTTGGGGTCGTCAATTCTCGAATAAAAAATAAGCAGACACGTGTCTGAGCTTTCTCGTCGTTCACAAAGATATTCAACACTTAATTTTTCGTCTCCTATATGCGTGTAGTTATTTCAGATGAGTGCAACGGCTGCAGTGGCTAAGGTGAATGGTCCGTAGATTCGTATCCCAAGGTCCCGGGTTCGAATCTTCGCGAGAAATAAAAATCCTATCAATCTTTATATTCTTTATTTTTATATATTTCTAAATTTGTTGTACCATTCGAGGCACTGTCGAGAATGAGCGAAGGAAACAAATAAATTAAAAAGAAAACTATAAAAATAAGAAAAAAGAAATTCTTGTCGCTCGCGAGATTCGAACTCGGAACTTCGGAATATGAATCTACTAAGATCTTCGCCATTGCAGCTGCTGGCTCTTCGGAATTCAGAAATTAATTGCTTAATTAGTATGCTAATATTATACAATTTTCTATTTCGATTTCAATACTCTTTCTGAGATACGAACTTACCAGAAAGTTTACCAAAGTTCTGTTATTTCTTGGTAAAAGCACATATATTATCATTTACATGCACTTGATGCTATTCCTCCTACATAAAAAAAGAAAAATCCAACTTGCAAGTGTAGAGTTTGCGCAACAAAAAACATTTGCAAGGAGACTCGATATTACTCTCCATTATGTATTGGGCTTTGTTACAAATCATAAAGATAATTAATAATACGTGATTATATAAATTTTGTTATAAATAAACGATGAAGTTGATTTTTGCTTAATTTAAAAGATCGTTCCTTTTAAATAATAATTGATGCATAATTTCTGTAATAAATTTTATTTGTACTATTTTTTTCAAGTTTTTCACATTTGTATATTTACGTTTGTGGATACAAAAAATTTGTTTATTCAAAAGCCAGTATGTTATAACATATTGCAAGTAGCAATGCACAACCTGCCAAAGACGAGTGTACTCTTAACGTAATATTTCTAAAGTTAGAACACGTGAGTTTATTTGCACGTAAATGGTGAACCTTCGTGAGATTTTTGCACGTGACTAACACATGTTTTGCGAGTAAATTTCATCCACTGTACCTTGAAAAGTATTCCTGATCCTTTTCGAACTCTAACCGGAAGGAACTTGGCGCGACTAGCTGACCATACACGCATAGACACACACACACACGCAATAAACACAATAAACGTAATATCTCTACGGTCACACGTACGCGTATGAACGACGATCGCATGTGCATCACATCCGTTCAGACTTTAAACGATGACAGTGTGTTTGCTGCGCTGTATTAAACAGTCGCCTCTGTTTACACTATTTACTTACCGCCTTCGTTTCGCTCTGCACGTTTGTTTCCGTTTTGCATATTAAATTATGGAGTCTGCGGGCTCGAGCGACGCGTAAACACCGATTCGAGCTCTCGAAAACGCCGAGTTACGCGCAAAGTAAAGTTGCGGGCACGTAAGTGAATGTATTTTCGTGACAATATATCGAAGCAAACGAATCGAACGCGACAGTCGCCGGAAGTTCGATGGAGTATTAGAATATCGGTGAGTGAGACATGGATATTCAACGATCGAGGAAATTTCCATTTTTTTATAATCGTTGTCGATTATAGATGAGTTTAAATATAAGTACGATTTCTTTTTTCGGGAAATTTTAATATTCACAGTGTCACGATCGAGAGCACCACTACGCAGATTCCTTAGGCTTGTTACCTACCGCACTAACACATGTACGTTTGCTTGCTGCTATAATTATGATTTCATGCTGTCGTAACTCGGGTTATCTGCTCTCGCGCGATAGTTGGTCCCTGTTCTCTTTGTATTATTGTATTATTGTGTTGCATCGACGTTCCGCGTAAATTGAATTTTCTTGTTGCAGCTCGAAGCTTAAGAAATCACATTTTTACAAATCCCAGTCGAACGATTTACGGGAAATTTTTTTTAAAAACTTGTTTACCGCTGCTGAGAAACGCGACATGGAACTATGCTAATTGGAAAGTAAAAACCAGTGAATGGTGCTTCGAAACAACGGTCGGGATAATTGAAAGTTCATTGGGGAACTCGTGTAATTGGTCTTTAATAACGCTAAAGTTTTCTAAGGAATGGGTTTCGATCGGTTGGTAACTGCGAATGAGAAAGCGACGAAACGGGTGTTTTCAACGGAATCTAATATTCTCGAAGTAACTGCATGGTCCGCGAAACGTAATCAACCCGGGAATAAGATTAAGTTCGCTGAGGAGTGTTGGTTTCGCAGCGTTTAGGCTCGATGCGAGTTTAAGTTACTTGGAACGACGTGGAATCTGTATTGTTGATAGGGTGGCCCTCCATCGGTGATGGCAGGGAAAGATGGGAAGCTGGAACCGAAAAGTGGAGACGTGGTGAGGCGGGGTTTCATGGTGAAACGGTCTCAGAACAAGAAACGTTTCACCCCGGTCAACTACAAGCAACGCTGGTTCGTTCTGACGAGACGCTTCCTCGTCTACTACGATAGCGATGGAGAGGTACGTACCTTTTCTATCTACATACACTACCATCCACAAGTGTTTAGGCACTCTCAATGAATGAATCATATAGAAACTCTGGAAACATGGGAAAATATTCATTTTTTACGTACATCCGCATATACATTTATGGAAGTGTGCTAAATAAATGCGAGAATTGAAACCCTTAATTTAAATTTTTGTCTCATCTATCTCCTTATCGAATTCCAAGTTGATCGAAGCTTGTTCCACGTATCACTAGCTGATGTTGGAGCTGAATTATTTTTGGTTGCGGGGCTCAATTACAATCATTTTTGGTGAATACACATACCTCTGAAATCTTACTCATTTTTGGGGAAAAAATTCGAAATTTTTAGACGAAATTAAAAAATTTCGAATCACTATAAAAAAATTATTTTTGGCCAGAGGGGTCAATTACAAGCATTTTTGGTGAATAGACATACCCGCGAATTCCTACGTACTTTCGAGAAAAAAATTCAGGAATGTGGTCATTTTCTGCAAAATTGAAAAATTTCGAATCACTATAAAAAAATTATTTTTGGCTAGAGGGGTTAATTACAATCATTTTTGGAGAATAGACACACCCTCAAAATCCTATCCAGTTTCGAGAAAAAAATTCAGGAATGTGGTCATTTTCGGCGAAATTGAAAAATTTCAAATCACTATAAAAAAATTATTTTTGGCTACAGGGGTTAATTACAAGCATTTTTGGTGAATAGACATATCCCCAAAATCCTATCCAGTTTCGAGAAAAAAATTCGAGAAGATGTAAAAATTTTCGACAAAATTAGAAAATTTCAAATCATTGTGAAAAAATTATTTTCGGTTACGGGGGTCAATTACAATAATTTATGGTGAATAGACCTACCCCCGAAATCCTACTCATTTTCTAGAAAAAAATTTTTAACGAAGCCTCCATCAACAAATTAGTATTCTTGATTTTCGTGTTATTTTGGCCTCTATAATCTCCCATTAAAATTTTTCCCAGGTTTGGCCGATCACTCTGTATAATTGAACTGCGTTTTAGATAAGTATTTCATTTTATTTTAATGTTTTTTTGGTAAACATAATTCTGTATCAATAATACATGAACAGAGGAGTGCCTGAACACTTATGAGCGGTAGTGTACGTTAAAACACACAGAAATGCGATACACTTCTCACACTGTGGGGTGAAAAGAATGGCCACGATGACAAACATTCGTAAAGCCAGAATCCAGTCGTCTACGCTATAAATTACAACTCAAATCGGCCAGTGGACATTGAACGTGCCCAATTGTCGTGCTGACCGTTCAGAGACGACTCTTTCTCTCTCTGTGTAGTTATAGTAGGAGTTACCCTAGTACTGGACACTTCAAGTTCCTTAAAATATAATATTCTATACCTTCTATTCTGTTTTATTTATAATTTGACAATACTAGAAACCAGCATAAAGCAACAAAACAAGTAATATTATAGAATTTGAACAAATCATTAGGCAGATCATTTATTCACCCCTAGCACGACAAATGACAAATATTCCACAGGAAATAAGTACTCAGCAAACTTTCACTTCTACGATGAGATCTGAAGATCCCAGAGAAGAAGATAAGAGGACATCGTACGTGCAGGCATCTAGTTTCGAGTGTAGCAGTTTCACGTTTCGTTATGCTATGCAAAGTGTTTATTCCATTCTTGCTATCGTCTATGCGAAATAACGATCGCGCAGCGTTTCGCGCTTTAAAGATATCGCTGGTGTCCGGTTTTAGGGTAACTCCCCCTACTCGGTCACGGTTAACGGCAGTAGTTACCTGCGTAGCTACGCAGCCCGTCGAGCTTGTGGACCAGCCAGCCAGTTTCGGTTTAGGGGCAGGGGTTGCTCGGGGGGTGGTTATAACGTGCTCGTGGACCATGTGTAAAATTGGTAGCGCAGGCGCCCCCGAGCCGCCACCGCCACCTTCTCTTCATCCTTTCTTCCGCTGCTACGTCGTGAGTTCCTGATGCACCGCGGCTCAGTCGGTGGTCGTCGTCGGGATCGTTCTCAGCGAATCGCGTTCAACGGGCCAACCCATTTCGTCTCGCGTCTCGCGTTTGCGTTTGCGTTTGCGTTTGCGTTTGCGTCTCAACGACCCTCCGTCGCGACGCTTTTCGACCGTGATTCGTTCGACCCATGCACGGCACACCATAAACTCGGTGCCCCGCGTTCATAGATCGATCCCACGATCCTTTGGTAGTCGACGTTCTAGTCAGAGAGAGATCGTCAAAGGATCGATACTCGATACGAGGGCACCTAGATCGTTCCAAGGAGGTAAAGTGCCCGGGAAGAGTCTCCGTAACGTTTGTCCCGAAGATTATCGATCTACCTTGAAATCGGAAGATTAAGGGGATAAATCTGAACGGGGATTGTTCGCTGGAAGTTTCCCAGGGCCGACGAATCCACGAGAAGTTGAGTAATCCATCAGGAAGTCGTACAGGGGAACTCTTTCTAATTAATCCCCGGCTACTTCGAGGGGCCTTCGAGCGCGATCTATTCAGGATCCAAGGAACTTCGGGGGAGAAGTCATTATTCATCCGACAGATATAAAGTTCCTGACGGGCCACAGCGAATCTTTCGGGGAAAGTTCTGTCGTCGTAGCGTCTACGAGAGATTGCGGTAGATCAGTCTCGAGCGCCGATAGATAGATCGTCGAATTTCGGAGAACTTGGATACTCTTCCAAACTTTCGTCCTTGTTCCTCGATTCGTCCCCCCCACGTGGGACGTTATCGCCTCGTAGCCGCAAGATTTTACGAATTTTATCTCACCAGCGTCCAACGTGGAGGTAAGTTGCAACCCCTCGAAGGGCGTTTAGGGAAAACCAATCGAAAATCGCCTAGTTTCTCTCCGTTCTCGAACGTTCCAGGTGCATCTTCCTTCGTGAATTGCACTCTTGTTCGAATTGCATTAAGAACTAATTAAATATAGACGTCGATGATGAATACGAATTCCGTGAACGTTCGATAGATGTTAACCTTGGTATTTCAGGTGTCTTTTGTTCCTCATTGTTGAATCAAACGATAAAAGAGAACTTGGGGCAACGAAAAAAAGTGAAAAGATGTAAAAAGGTGAAACGGGCCTGCTATAAAGATAAAAGTGACTATAACTTTCCAATTTGTCGCTGAAACGAGCCCTGCGCGTCACGATCAGTTTTATGCCAGTTCAGACATAAGTAGCCCGAGTACGTGGATCCCAAAAAAATTGAATTGTCGACACGTGGGCGTACGTCCACGGTATGGTACGTTGAATCACGGTGTCGTTTCATTTTGGCAAGATAGACAGCGCCCGGTTAGGGGAATATCATAATTTAATTTATCAGTTTGCAATTGTTCGGATTTCCTCCAAAGGTATTGTTATATTAAATATCCGGGCAGTGTTTCCATTCGTGTTGTTTAATTTATTTGCGCGAATCGCTCGAAAACATGATCCCTTAATTATCCCGAACCGGGCGTATTTACGCGTGAAATCGGCTGACAGCTGAAATATCGCGATGATTCCGTTGAATGGGAAACGGGAGGTAGGATCTGGTCAAAAATTGCACTCGTTTGGAAACGGGTACGCGAGAACGGTGCAAATTATATGCACTCTGAATACAATCACGGGGTTGGATGGAAAAGGTTATTATTTAATTTCGAACGAAGCTCATTTTTATTCTTGGAAAATTCAGCGGCCTGAAGTTTCCACGCGAAAAATCCTCCGGTCAATTGGTTTTTATAAGGCTGCCGCCCGGAAATGTTTGTTGTTCGCGTGTAACGAAAAGACCGCGCGTTTCGGGGAGGTATTTAATTAAAACCAGCCTCATTATTCGTTGTTACTTCTTGATATTGAAAAGGGAGGAGGTCGAAGTGGCCGGCTACGAACGGACCGGGCGATTCAGCGCAGATTTTTCCGCACAAAGCCGCGAGCGAGATTCAGGCGAGAATCCAGAGAAACCGACCGAGCCGACGGTGCTTTTTTCCTCCGGGTCGTTAAGTCGCTCTCGCGGCAAGTACACAGCTCTTTCTCGTTCCTTTTTCTCTCTCTACCCACGCGTTTTCTTTTTCAACGATTATTCATTCGACGAACGTGAAATTCGGACGGTCGAATACGGGGAAGCGCGAAATAGAGAGATAGGAGCGACCTGAAAGCCCGCTCGGTGGAGAGGCGGCTGTTGCCTCGAAGAATGACGCCAGTAACGAAGGGCACCGGTAGTCGACGAATCTAATAAAGCCCTCGTCACACAGGACCGTTCGCGAAAGCCTAAATGAAATTTTCTCTGGCGGCGTTCTTTCCTCCGGGTCGCTTTCCGGCTACCAGCGAATAACCAAAAACCAGAACATTTTACGTCGCCCTGGATGCCCGAGGTTCCGAAGGATAGATATTTACACTCATTGTCAGTTCCACAAGACCGTGTCGTTCCTAATTTTGTCACTAGACGCATCTGTTTAACAATCGGTTGATTCAACTGTTCGAACACTTGGCTTCAATGCTTCGAGGTTAAATCAGTATTGTAGGCTGTTATCTGCGTCGAAGGTGGCAAAAATGACTATGAGTGCAGCGTACGCTGGTCGAGTCGAAGCGGTGTTTCTCTGTGATCATCCAAAAGGACCCAAAATGTCGTTCTTTATTAACCCTTTGCACTCCTATGTCGAGTGTGACTTGACAACAGTTTTTATCTCAGGAGCTCTTTTGTCAACAATAGTTACATAAAACAGATATTTAATTGAATTTGTTTTACCCCATTTTTTACTTAACGTGAATTTCAAATAAAACACTTGGAAGCGTTGGGAGCTACTAGCAATAAAATTGAAGTATAATTCGGAGTGCAAAGGGTTAAGAAGTGGGTGAAAAGGTATGATGAAGTTAAAAATGTTGACCTGCCCGAACGTGGCAAGCGTCTCTCAACGTCAGAAAAGAACGACAAAGCAATTTTGAGAATCTTTAAAAAGAATCCTGGGTGTTCCCCTACGAAAAGTTAGTTTTAGCGAAAAAGGGTGTGGAAGTGAGC